GGCAATGTGACACCTCCCCTATGAAAATAGTCTGAGAGAGTTGGGGTTGCCCACCCTGTGAAAGAGTATAGACTCTGGGAAGACCTTACTGCAGTACTTAAAGGGGACTTACAAGAAAGATGGGGACAAACTTCTGAGTAGGGCATGTTGTRTGTTAGGACAAGGGGTAATGGCTTAAACTAAAAGCAAGTTGATTCAGTCTAGACATAAGGAAGAAAGTTTTTACAGTGAGAAYGGTGAAACACTGCCACACATTACCCAAAGAGATAGTGGAAGCCCCATCCCTGGAAACATTTAAGGTCAGGCTGGATGGGGCTCTGAGCAACCTACTCATGTTGAAAATGTTCCTGCTCATCGCAGGGGGCTTGAAGCCTAGTTCAAGCCCCTAGATGGTCTTTAAAGAACTCTTCCAACATAAACCATTCTAAGATTCTATGATGGTACCTTCAAACAAAGAAAACACCATTGAGCACTGAGAACCCATAGCTGAAAGCCCAAATGGGCTCACTCAAGGCAGAAATGAAGCACACACTTCAACAGAAGTAATCGGAAAGCCTGTCTTGGTTTGAAAGACAGATGTCCATCAAGGAAGGCAGTAACCTCCCTTGGAATGGAGAATATGACCCCGCTTCCTTTTGAATTATTATWACTTTGAAATTATGGGGCTTTCAGRCAAAGATATGGGWAAAGTTCTTTAKTAGTATGTATGRCAAGGCAAACAAACAACAACCACAGCAACACCAACAGAGCCATAAACCCGGTGACACCTCCYGGGCTGTCCTCACCTTCCCCTSGTGCAGTTCCGGTYACAGCCGCCAGGGGCGCTGGTGGCTCCGGGCGGGCACGGCGGGGGCGGGGATTCTGGTAGGGTCTGTGCAACTCTTCATCCATTATGCAGGGGAAAGGGAAATCAGTTCTTCAGGGATGAATGAAGGAGGTCTGTGTGCTTGAGAAAGTCTGATCTTGATTTTACCTAGTTTCTATCAATCAGAAGATTGTTTTTATACAAGTTTCTAAATGTTGATGGAAAGAGGTTTTCAAATCTTGTCCCTACCCCCTATAGCAATTGTTCAGTTGGCTGACACAGAGGAACCGCATTAGGAGTATCCGTGCTCTTCAAAACTAGTCCTAAACCAAGGAAACTTGCTTTTGGAAAAAAAAAAAAAAAGTAGACCTATGTAAAGAACTGTGTTCAAGTGTTGTTAAGCACTTGCTACCCTTGAGTAATTGTAACACCTATGACCAATTGCTGGGCCTTGCATGTAGGGCTCTGAATTGTGAGAGATCAGAGTGGAGTCCTTGCCTGGGTGGAGAGCAGCCCTTAAGAGAGGGTGTGTAGTTAGATGCAGTGGGATAAAAGGTAGTTGGGTGTGGGTTGATGTAGGTATAGTGATATCACTTGTTCTCTCTGGAATTTCTGTATTCCTAATACATGAGTGTGAGGAACCAATGTAATTTTGAGTTCTGTCTCAACTTTGTTTAAAATTGCCAGTTGTATGTGGGGGAGAGGCTGCACAAGTGCTACTTGCAAGAGGCAGCTAGGAGATGAAAGCCGTGCAGAGACTGCCTGGCAGCCATCTCACATGGAATAAGCAGTAAGTAGGAGACCACAAAGGACACTGTCCTCCAGAGAGTTCTCCCATCAGATGGCAAAAGGTCTCTGCCAATGGACTGCAGTGGAACGTTGGACTGGGCCAATGGTCTCCTGTCATCAGGTAGACCTTGGGAGAACCCCAAAGGAACTGTGTCAGATACCTTGGGGTCTTTTTGCCATGATTGTAGCTGGCTGTTCTGCCTCTGTTTTTGCCAACTGGCCCTTGTTTGTCCTCGCTTGCTTGCTTGTCCTTCTCGCTGGCTGGACACGTGCTGAGCCCCTCCTGTGTCCTGCCTTAGCACTTCGTCTCCCTTGCCTGCTGCAGCTGTCGCCTTTTCTGCTTCTCGGTGTTCTTGCCCAGTGCCCTGCCTGCTTTGTCCCTGCCTGTCTTGTTCCTACCTAAGCCACCTGCTTCCAACCCTCTGTCGCCAATCCAGCCTGTTGCTGCGATCCCTGCCATGACCCTGTTCAGGACTCTGCACCTCCTGCCTGAGCACCCGCTCACCTTGTGAGGTGCCCGTCAAGGCAAGAGCTGTGCCTGTGCTCCGAGAGCTGCGCCGGCTCCCCCTGCCATGGGAAGTGCACTCACAACCTGCTGGTTGGATGTCAACAGCACATGATCAAGTTCTAGTAGTAACGCCTACTTTTTTCTCTCTGTCTCCCCCCTATCTCTCCTCTCCCTGTTCTTTTTCCTTCGCCTTTTTCCTTTTCTGTCTTTTCTATTCTTCTTTAGTCGGGCAACGCCCTTTTTGCTACCAATAAACAGTTCTCAGATATTTGCCTGTTTAGCTTAACTCCATCGTAGATCATCTGTTTAAGAGTCACCTGCAGTTCCCCTTTAGTGGAATGCAGTGATGAGATATCCAAGAATGTATGTAGGTTTTTTTTCTCTCTTTGAGTTAAAACTAGATAGATCTTGATTAATGTTTTCTCTCCTCTTTCAATAAGAACTTGAGGTAATTGCCAATTGCTGCACATATTTTTTACTCTGTAGAAACTGTAAGTAGTATACTTCAATAAACGTGTATGCCTTGTAATCATGGAAAATACACTTATGGATTAATAGAAGCCTCCCCAGTTAAAACCAGATGAAACCATTACCCTATTATAAAACATTTACTGTTTATACGGAAYTTCTTACATGTAAATATGATTATGCTATTGTAAAAAAAAAGAAATATTACTTATTTTTTGCAGGTGCCAGAGCCTGGAGAAAAAAGATTAATTGTTCAAGGCCATCCCTGGTCTAGCTCTTAGTTTGTACTCTTTCTAGTTGGCAGTGTCTAATTTGTACAGTGTGAAGAGGTCTCAAAAACGTTGCTTGTAGCTGCTAAAGCACTTATGAATTCACTAATGTTGATTGCTGAATTGTCTTTTTTTTACTGTCCCCTTGCAGATCCTGAAGTGTCTGGAATCTCCATTGAAACAGATAACAAAAATGTAAAAGCAGAGGAGTTTAAGGGTACAGTACGGGTATTGTTGTGATAATTTTTCATATATACACAATAGATGTAATCTGTGTATACAGAAGCTGTGCAGCTGTTGAGGTTGTCTTCCTGAGGGGTCTTGTGCTTACTCTCTCCACTGATTCTGTGTTATCTTTGTCTTGTCCCCATTTTCTCTTGCACAGTGTGGGGTTGAACTAGGTGCTCCCCAGAGATCCTTTYCAACCTCACCCGTTCTGTGATTCTGTGACTTGTTTGTCAGTCTAGTAACTTCTGCCTGATTTCCTTCCACACAGAATTATGGGAGCTGATGGAAAAGAGAAGCATTAAATATCTTACAGGACAAAAAGTGAGGGACTAGAGACAAAGCTATAATTTAGCTAATTATAAGTAACAATAATTTAATGGCTATTTTTACTTGCCAGTAGCTATAATAGCTATTTAGTTAGTTATATATGTATGTGTCATATATAAAATGGCAGTTACTCTGGCAACTTCCAATAACAGAGTGGAGAACTGACAAAGAGGAAAACTTGTTTACTGGGTAGATGAGAAAGGGGTGGAGTGCACTGTGAGGTTTGTGGGTTATGTGCATTGGTTTGTTTTTTGAATTTGACTGGAGTAGAAAGATGTGGGAATTTGGAATTGAAAAAACTGTTCTCTGAGCTTTAAACCTTATTCAGCTGTTCAAGGTAATAAACAAATATTTTAGAGGTCTCTAAAGCTGTCATCTAGACTTCTGTTAAGTATTTGTCTCTTGACAGAATAAATTTACAGTTCAAGGCAGGGAAAAGCAGAGAGAAACTCTTCAGGTAATATTAAAGCTTGATAAGGTGCTGTCTTTTTATATGATATATGGTTTGCATTTTGTTCTTTTATTATTTGTACATTAAATTGAATCAATTTAGCACAGCCTAGATGCCAAGTCAAGTTCTTCATGTGTTGCAGCACTAAGGGATGGTAGGGCTGATTGACATAGTTATTCCACTGAGTGCAATTAGTCTGGAATGCATTTTCCTTTTCTCCTCTAAATCCTGTTACTGTAGAGGAGGATGGCTAGACACTGGAACAGGGTCCCTAGGGAAGTGGTCATGGCACCAAGCCTGACAGAGCTCAAAGGAGCATCTAGGTGACACTCTCAGTCATGGTTTAGTTTTAGGTAGCTCTGCAAGGAGCAGGGTGTTGGGCTAACTGATCCTTAGGGTTCCTTTCAACTTGAGATATTCCATAATTCTATCACCAATGATAGCCTTCAGACCAGATGTAAATCCAAATTAAACATTGTGCAGATCTCTCCAATATTCCAGAGGGCTTTTGTAGTACCAGTGCTGATGCACAGTATCCTGTGGGGCCCACCTTAATGCAAGTCAAGTACACCTGCTCTGGAAATACCTCTCCCTGACTCCATTACTATGSAAAAAAGCAGGAGAGGGGAGCTATAGTTAAGGAGAATTTTATTATATTGTCTCTGTTCTGTGCACACTCCCTTGCTTCCATGCATTCCTTTTCTCTGAATAAGATTAGTGGATGGGCATCAATGCTATTTTTTTTTTTATGAAACAAAAACATGTGGCATGCAAGAAAGGGGCAGCTCATTTGAGACAGAGGTGACTTGTTCAGCTGAGAACACTTCAGCTGAGCTGTCTCTGTGTCAGCTAATAGAGACCAGCTCATAAGACCAGCCAACTGTCWCAAGGTCAGTAGCAAAAGCAAGCTGAGCTTGAATGATGCTTTTTCTTTGTTAGAAGGATACAAAAACAAAATGGAAAGGAAATTAGCAAATCTTAAGGTTCAGGAAGTCTCCGCCCATTCACTCAACCTGAAGTCAGGAACCTCAGACTTCCTGAGTGCACAGTATGTTTTTCGGAGCGGCTAGTGCATGTATAACATGTTTCTGGCAAGGAATGCCCTCCTGCCTCAATTTTTCTTTCAAGTCTGGACATTTTTTTCCTGTGTGAGATATCACCAAGGCTACTAGTCTGGCTTTTTGATTCTTTTCAGAACGGACTCAGGAGATCAGACTCTGAAGGGCAAGCAAGTAGATTTGTCAGTAGTTCTTAATTGCCTTCCAGCCTCATTTGCTGCGACTGGAAAGGAGGATGATGGTTGGTTATATTTGAGCAGTGTGTGTTTGTGTAATGWAAGCTAGACAGGCCTTGCCAAAACTAAAAAAGACTTTTGCTCTTTGATACTGTGTCCTGTATTAGAAGATTAATAGCTTATGGGTAGCAATGTCTATATTGCATTTGTTTCTTTAACCATTTTACTGGAATGTTTTCCATCTGCATTAAGTTATACATTTAAACAGTAAAACTATTGATACTGAATTCAGAATGGCAATTCACAAAATATTGTTAATAACAGGGTCAGAGTCCCCTTTTTAGTGGTGATCTGCTCAAAAATGTTTAAACTAAAATGAGGGTAGTAATAGAGAATGCAGTCGATGAACTGGATATTCCTATGTTGGATGGAGAAGGTAATAAACTCCATGCAGCATGGGGATATCTAGTCCCTAGCATCTGAAGTTTGATCCAAAGGCCACTGAAGTATAGGAAAACTACCGTTTTTTTTGAAGGGGGAACATTAATTTAATGGAGCCTGATTGTATACCAACACAACACTAAAGTTTCTCATTTTCCCTCTTGTCTTTTTTTTTTCTCCCTTCTAGAGGCTATTCTTAGTTGCAAACACAAATTTTCAAAAGGAGTGAGTTTAAGAATAGAGTGGAAGAAAATCCAGTCTCAAGGAGTCTCATTTGTCTACTTCAATGGTAAATTTACAGGTACAGTACTACAAACAGACGGWTGGTTTAACAGGTCATTCTCTAGCATAGATATTGACTCTTGGGGAACAACACCAGGAAAATGACTGAATGAGAAGAGTCTTGACTGTTCATATTGAAGAGTTGTCCTTTTGCGAGGAATTCTTTCCTGGGGGGAGAAAAAGCATTTCTTTATAAAATTGTCAGTTATTAGTTACCGTTTTAGTGAAGTTAAATGTAATAAAATTCAAGACTAAAAAAAATGGCACTGCAGATTCCTTGGTGTTTTTCAACAATGAAATTACTTGCAGATGTAAACTTCCCTAAACTATTGCAGACTCTGTACTCGTATCCTAAAAAGTGATTTCTGAAGCCTCTTGCAAAGGAGGAGGTTTAGATATGAATAATTCAGCATTTTTTGTATACATAAAATATAAACTCAGCTGTATATTTTAAATTATTTGTATTCTTTTCAGAAACAGAATTTCACTTTGTTCTGAAAAGGACTTACCTCAGCTTTGTGTGTTGGAGACCAYGCAGGTCTCTGTTACCTTGTACACAATAAATAAAGGTTGAGAAATAAAATAAAAGCACAKCAATTTTGTTAGTTTGTAGAATTTGCAGATGTGCTGACCTGGTTGATGAACTTGTTTTTTTTCTGCATATATTTAATTCAAAAAAACCCTGGAACTCATGGTTCTCTGTATGCAAGTAACTTGAGTTTCATAATAACCTGTAGAATTAAAAAAAAAACCAAATTAATTGTAAATCTGATGGCAATATGTTTCCTAAATCCATCAAGCTTTCCTTACTATGTTCAAAAGCCAAATACACTGCTATGTCTTACAACTTTTTCCTTGATGTAATTAAGTTAGTAATTGCCATATCTGTAGTGGAAAGTGGGGTCTTTCAGTCACCTCACTACTGCTATGCATATTTTCTTGAAATACCTGCAGAAAATGCATTCCATCTTCCAACTGAAAAATAAATGGAGATGGGTTTTTTTTTTTTTTAATTGAGAGTGTTTTTTTGGACTAACAGGAAGATTCATACTGTCTTGTGGAGGGGATTATATATTGCTTTTTGCTGATAGATAACTAACACTGAACAAGTGAGCAATAGTTTCATGTACAGTATGATGTAAAATATCAATATATCATTAAGTTGTGTGTGATTTCAGAATAAGCCAATGAGCTATACACATTTGCTTTCAAACTGAAAGGTGAAATTTAGGTTAGATATACAGAGGAAATACACACAGGAAATTTTTCTTTTTGAGGGTGGTGAGGCACTGGTGAGATTGCCCAGAGAAGCTGCCACATCCCTGAAAGTATTCCAGGCCAGGTTGGACAGGGCTTGGAACAACCTGGTCTAGTGGMAAGTGTCACTGCCCATGGCAGGGGGCATGGAATGAGATGATCTTCAAGGTGCCTTCCAATACAGGCCATTCTGTATGATCCAATACAGGATCATTCTGTGATCCTGTGGTTTTATAAGCAAAGAGCAGAAACCTTGCTGTCTGTTCTCCCTATAGGTGATCTTCAAGGCCGAGCAGAGATGCTGAATACAGGAATCCGAATWAGGAATGTGACTAGAAGGGATTCTGGAACCTACCGCTGTGAAATCAGTGCCAAGAGTGAAGAGGGGCAACGCCTGGGAGAGGCTGCTATWACTCTCACAGTATTGGGTACAAACTGTATTACTTAAGCTTCTGTAAAGAAACTGGATGATGGGGTGCTGGGGTATTGAAGCTAGGGTTGTCCATGCAGTGTGTGGTTGCTGGATTTTTGGGTCTTCTTTGGGCTGGGTTTATAAACACACTGGCACATGAACATTCTAYGACATCACAAAACAGCTTGGCAAAAGTCATGCTTGCATTAGAAAGAGACAATAACTAGGGTTTTGTTATATAAAAGTGAGTTTCGGTTCTCAAAACTGAAATCACTCAGTGACTGAGAATCCGGATAAGATGATCATGGTGTTTGGCACTGGAAAGTCAGCATCTGTCAACACTTATCAAATATTCATAACCAGTTCGCTCCAATATGCTAAAGTTTCCTCCTGGTTTTAAAAGGAGGGAGTTTTTATGCAACAACAGACAGAGAGCTGGCAATCTGTGGACTTTATTTGCAAGAGAGCTGGTGGTACCTGCTAGGGGGCAATTGTTCTTTGTGGGTCTTTGTTTTCCTTCCCAGTTAGGGAACGGGTGCAAAAGTGAATACTGAGCACATTATTCTCAAGTAGTTTCTGGTATTTCTGTCACTGGAYGAGTGGTAGAGGCTGACAGCTTTCCTTTTTTTCCTGTACAGGGGCAAAACAGGGACTTGCTTTTGTAGATTCTATATTTGTCCTCTTAAAAATAAAAATAATTGATCTTTTAAAATTATRTGTAAAATCTTTAAGTTCTTCATGAAGGATGATAAATGCATGAACTTCTGATTAGTGCCAACAATGAGGTAACCTCACTTATTCCTTCTTTCTTCTACTTTCTCAACAGCTATCCTCTTTTCAATGTGGCTTCTTAATTTAAAGTTGAACTCTTCAAGGCTGAAGGAGAAAGGGGGGTGTGTGTATGTTGCTTACAAACCATTTTGAAAGTTAATGTGAATTAGTTATTATTTTACTTGTTTGGGTTTTTTTTTTTATTTCTGCTTTTTATCTTAAAATCAACCCAGAAAAAAACTATAAATACTTGTTCAGGTGGCAGTTGTTCTTTTAATGTTCCATGGATGGCTCTTCACCATTATTTTTATTCTATATAAATGTTAAGTACCAACAATTTAGAAAGTAAGTTTCTTTTTGATATTAAAAATCAAAAAAGAGATGTTCATCCTCATAGGAGGAACAAACAGCTCTCCTGCATCTGTGTGGGGGAATGTTTGTTTTTAATTTAAACTGAAATGTAACTAATTTGTTTTGGTCCTCAGACTGGGGTTTACACACCAGTCTTGGTAATTCCAGTCTTGGTAATACCAGTCTTGGTAATTCTTTCTGACAATCACATCTCAAAAGTTGACTCTTTTTAATACAAAAAAATCTTTTTCCTCTTCTTCATTTTTTTTTAAATGCTTGGGCAGGGAAGAGGGCAATTGCTGGRCTTGAGATTCCCATCTCTATGAACAAGATGTTCCATACAACAAACAAAGTGAAACAACATTCTGGGGTTGGATGAGGGTGCACAGATTGGAGACAGAATGATACAGCATATGGTGGGGGAGGCTGGCAGTAAGCACCTCTTTCATTTTTAGCAGCTCATTTTACTGTGCTCTCMGTAGCAAGATTCTGCCTTCTAGCCCTTCTCCTGCACCTCATTTAATTGACACAGTATTTATCAAATGTGCACAAGTGCTCACGTCCTTACCATACCATCAGCCTGTTGTCATGTGGACAGTACCAGTACGTGTATAACAAGTGCAATTTCTCTGTCCAGTTGCTCCAGCTACTCCAGTGTGTGAGGTCCCCAACTCCGCRATGACGGGAACGGTCGTGCAACTGAGCTGTAAGGAGACTGAGGGCTCCCCTCCATCTGAGTACCARTGGTACAAGAATGGTGTTGCCTTGCTGGAGAAGACAGGAACAGGCAGTGCTAGAGCAGCAAACATAACTTACACCATGAATAAAAAGTCTGGCATTCTGGTAAGTGTGATAACCAGTTCTGTGATAGACAGCTATCACAGAGACCAAATTTTACTGTTCATTACAATGATGCACAGGAGTCTTAATCCAAAAATTCACAAGGTCTTTGTTGGAGGTTAATGTTATGCTCAAATATGTGCTGAGAAATGTAGAAGGTAGTTTCTGCCTCAGACCAGTGACAAGCAATAGACACTGMGTGATATACACAAATTGGGTAAGGTGTGAGGCTGCAGTAATGAAAACTGAGAATCTAGAAATACATGAGAAATTTTACCTTGTCAGCTGGTAAACTAGTGCCAGGTGAGAATGAATGCTCAGTATGGCAACAGAGCTGTATTTGACAAAAYTTTAAAATCTGGAATAGTAGCTTCACACACTTCAAGGGGAGCGCAGAACTCGGGGCAGTACAGAATCTCTGCAATCCAGTGCCATTTACAAGTTCCCAACCAGGACCTGTGAAACCAGTTGGGACTGTAAATAAGCTTAGTGGGTTCTTTGTTTCAGTTGTAGTTTGTTTTATGGGTTGTGTGTTGGGTTTTTATCCCTTCAGAACTGGCTGTCTYTCTATCATTCTTCCCCCATTAGCTGATTCTTAAAAAAAAACTTGATGCTACTTAGAATGCTGAGATTTTTCAGTTGTACTAAGAGTTGTTCTAAGAACAGCCTATTTTTGTGCAAAATCAAACATGGAAACTGAAGTATGACTAAGCATTCAGATGTTCAGAAGATYCTTCRGCATACTGTCAAAATTAGCTGGRCTATTCAAACTGAYTAATCACTTCTGAAAATATCAAAGTATGGCATACATTAAAAAGAAACGGCTAGCAAATTTAATTATAAAAAAGTAGAAACACTGGAACTGTCATGAGGGCAATGTTCACCTCTTTCTTATGGATCAAGTGAGAGCTTTAGAAAAGCCTTACCTTAGGTTTAGATTTTTGGCAGCAGCTCTGCTTAGGGTGACTTGCACCTAAATTGCTCTGGCTTGCAAGTTCTTAAGAATGGACGATTAGGTCTTATTATAAAATTACTTATTGAATAGACAGAAGGTAAYAGACAAGAGGCCTTAAAGAGAGTTAGGTACTACAGAGCATAAAGTAAAAGAACTACTAGTGGATTACATAAAACATTGCATGGCATTAAGGTATCTATATTAGAGCTAGCAGAGAGAATAGATTAGGAGTCAATGTCACTTACCACTGAATTACTCTTAGTGTACATGGAGTCTTCCACTCAACTCTTGAGAGAGTAACCACAAAGCAGCATCCTGGCTTMGGGGATGAGACCCCACATATTTCCAGGGAATGTGCAGAAGACTTCTGCTTTGGGAAAATAGCTTTGGGGTGTAGCTTTTATAGTTTGCGAAGTGAAGGGTCTGTCAGTCAGAAATTCCAGCTTTTCTTTCCACATCTGACTACACAGGAAGGTATTTACTGTCAGCTGAAAGCATCTATCCCATGGCAACAAAGTAACTGACTACAAAACAAACTGTCCTGATTGCTCTACTTCACCAAGGCTCATGTGAGGCTCGTGTGAGAACGAGATGCCCTGAATTAATTGCTCCAGCTAACAAGCAACAGATAGGCTTTTCTGTGGCGGAGGGAGATGTCCTGCTCAAGCCTTGCTTCCTCATTTTAGTTTTTACAGTTGTAGTATTTGATAAATAGTGTGGTTTAGCATTTCTCTGTTGGAAGAAGACATAAAGTGCATTTTGGAGGGTTGAGAACCACCCAGCAACTCTACTTCTGAAAAGTTTTGGCAGACAAGTATATATATATATAAGTTGTATATGACAAGTTTTTTTGAAGGATCAGTTAACGGGGTTGTTTTGATAAAATAAACAAACTGTTCTGATTTCAGGTATTCTAGGWTTAGAGCATATATTGAAAAGTGGATATTATTGAAAAGTTCTGATTTACTGAGAAAGAATTTCCTTGTAGATACACTCCAATAAATATCCATCTAAAGGAACTTTTTAGGCAACATGTAGAAGTTCAAGGACCAGGAAATGTGAYTAGGGAGCTGTTACAAGGTTGAAATGGACCAGAATTTCTTACTGTCCTTCAGAGTTTTTTGGCGTTTTATTTGTTTAAAACAAATAAAACCATGGATTGACATGTCAAAATTTCTATCCTACAGGATTTTTTTTTTCTCTTCTTATAATGGTTTTGGACTCTTTCTTAACAGCTGTTTAATACAGTTACAAAGAATGACACTGGAGAGTATTTCTGTGAAGCCTCCAATGGAATTGGATTATCTCAGAAATGCTCAGTGAAACGAATGCAAGTTGGTATGTGTCAAAGAAAACAAGGGTGGAAAACAGTCTTGCAGTAGAATTTAAGTAATTGCATGGTGCAACTGAGAAGCTAAGACCAGATTGAATTAAATCTTTTTATTTGGTTATGACATTTTGGGGGAGGAGAAATGTTAATATAAGTTCTTTATCACAGTAATTAGCTTGTAGATTGCTAAGCAGCGAACTTCAAAGAAAAGGACAGCTATATGAGAACATTAATATTTCTGAATGCTTTTGTGGAAGACTTACAGGAGAGTGTGCCAGTCAACTGGGGTGTTTTCTTTAAATAAAGCCTCCCTTTTGGGACTCATTCATGAGAGATCTTAATGTAATAGTCTATAATAACCCAAAATGGATGAATATTTTTGTAAAAATGTATAACTACTTCTTGCAGATATGATAGGAAASCAAATGGTAAGAAATCCTAATAACTGCTTCAGAGAAGATCCTGTCGAAGTGTTGCATAAAGCAAGAACATGAAACTGCAAAGTTCTATATGGTSCTTTCTTAGAACTTAACTGAAAATCACCATGTCATGGCTTTTAATGCATTCCTGGTGGATTATGAGCAAGTGTTCCTCAAGCTACTGGGATAGAATCATTCYGTGAAAATATGCACCTAAGTCCTAAATCGCTGTCAGCCTAAATTGTACAAAGTTGATAGGTTTTGAGGTACAAATCTCAACCATGTATTAGCATATGCTTAAAATCCAAATCCAAATAAGTAATTGGAAACATAACAAAAGACTATGAAAATTGTTTCTGCTTGTTGATGTTTTTGGTTTTCATAAAATGGATACTGTCTGAAGCTCTTAGTGATTATATCATGAAATGGGCATGGTCCTTGTCATGGTGAACCCTACCCATCACCTTCAAAATCAAAATGGCCAGATGTTTCAGTAGTCTGGTGTACAGTTTAACTTCAGGCAACYCAGCTTTATTGTGTTGTTTTTTAAAAGCCTTGCTATTTAAAAAATTAAAAATCATCAAATTCCAAATAACTCACTTGAAGAGTTCTTTAGAAGTAGAACCCAACTGCCATCAGCTGTTCCAGTTGTATTAAGCAAATTAGCTCTATGAAAAAAACTTGCTTTAAGACTTACAAAGATTTCAAAATATTTTCCCATAGAGACATATGACTTGGGTAATACTTATCTGGGGTAGATATGATGAGGAGTATGTATCYCCTGATCCTTCTTATTTTTTCTTTACTTTTGACCCAAACTAAGCTGTTGATGTGTACCAAACACTTTACTTAAAGTACTTGTGACACACTAGTCACACTAGTTTTTTACTGCTTAATTACGTCTAAATGTCACTAATTAACTTATACATCTTGGGCCAAAGACCACCTATAGATACCAAATATGCCTGTGGTAATTAAGGAAAAAATCCAGCCAATGGAAATTTTTGCCGTTTAGAACACTGGACTTCTGTTTTATAATTACAGATGACCTTAACATAAGTGGTATCATTGTGGCTGTAGTATCTGTGGCTCTGGTGATGGCACTGTGTGGCCTTGGAGTATTTTATGCCCATAAAAAGGGCTACTTTGCAAGTAAGTAGAATAAAATCACTCCTTCGTTGAGTCAAAAATTATCTCTATTTAGCAGAGTTTCCATCAGGGTTTCTCTTGCTCAGAGAAGCTGTGGATGCCCCATCCCTGGAAGTGTTCAAGGACAGGTTGGAGGGAGTCCTGAGCAACATGGTCTGGTGGAAGGTGGGTTGGAACTAGAKGACCTTTAAGGTCCCTTTCAACCCAAACCATTCTATAATTTTATGATTCTGATGACGTCCTCCTCTCCACGAATGCTCTTAACTCCGTGATACTAAAGCTGGAGAGCATTAAAACAGAACATTTTGTGCAGACATTTTTATTCTGCCAACTTTTATTGCAAAACGTACTGTATGAATGGCATGGAGATGCTTTTGCAGTTGCTCAAGGCTACCRAACAACATTCTAGAGAAAGTTACAAGACAGACCCTGGTTCCTGGAACATCTCTGTCCTAGTTTTGATAGGGAATGCCTAAGAAAGGCAACATAAAAATGAGCCAGTTTTAGTCTACAAGGCCTGACCAGCGGAGTTCTAATGAAAGGGAAACTAAATTAACCATCTCATTCCTCTGGGTCATGGAAAAAGTTTACTTTTAAGGATTGCTGCAAAAAGCTTTACAACCAGCAACCCTCTCCATAGSCTTTACATTGGTACCTGTAGGGTTGAGCACAGCAAGAATAGGTGCCAAACACTGGGGTATGAAAAATTCAGATGCCTGAAAGTACCAGAGGCTAGAGCTGCTGGTTAGAGTTCACTTAAACCTTAGTTTACCCTTGAAAGCAACCTAATCTTCTGCTTAAACTCACTACGAAACTTGGTGCAGAAACTCCTTCTAGAAATTTAAGAGCTGAAGATTGTAGGAATAACTATTTCAGAGAACTTTAAATCAGCTAAGAAACTCTTCGTGTGTAATTCTTTTTTTCTTTCTTTTTCAGAGGAAAGCTCTTCCCAGTAAGTATCTTGATGCCAGTAGTACATAAATCACTTACACCCCTAACTCAGCTATTGGCATTCATGTGTCTTGTCTTCAAACTAGACAAAAGACAACCAGAACCAAAATTAACTGCTCTCATATCCATGTCTACAGGTTATTTCAGGAAGTATTTTGTGAAAGTATGACTGGTGGAAACTTYTGACAGTCCCTGGTCTTCCCCTTTGATATGGATTTATTTCACTCAAATTTCTTAGTAGCAAGTCAGAATTTCTCAAGCAGTTTTAGTTCTGGCCATGAGCTAGACAAAAAGTGTAACTGGAAAACTTGAATCACAAGSTAGAGCAGGTGATTGGCAGTGGTTTAAGAGGTAATGACTGATACCTGAAAGCATTCAATGGATTTGTTATTGTAACTTTTTTCTAAGAGGGGGAAAAAATATCTTGAGGATTGCTGGAAATCTGGAAAAATGTATTCAGATATAAGGTTCCCAAAGGGGTAAAACCAACACCAGAAAAGTCACTRTTTAACTTGTATTCCATTCCTGCTGTTAACAGAAAGAAGACTAACTATCAATCTACGAGTGAAAAGGCAAGTCTTTTGTGTTCATTTGTGCTTTTAAAAAGCTTTAGATACCTTTGAAATTCCTTAGATCTATAATGTCTTTGCACACATACATAAACTCCTCACACCTGCCATGCCATACCTGTCCCCAGTACCTGGAGATACTCATCTCTGTCTGCATTTATAGCTTCCTCTTGCACAGTCTCAAGTGCTACACAACTACATCACCTTGCTCCATACTTTGCATCTTCTTGTACATATTGATAAACTAACTGAGACACATACCAAGACAGCAGTGAGAGAAAGACTGGGCCCTAACTCTTCTAAGAATAATGTGGATCAAAAGACTTGACTAAATATGGAAGCTGAATTTACTACTTCTACCCCCACTTCYGTGAGTGGGCTCCAGAGCTTTAAATGCATGTACATTGCTCCAGCTATTCAGATTGGTGCAAGARGAATGGAGTTCTAACTAAAACTTTATCTAAGAGTGACGACTTATCACTATCTACAGTTWAAGGACATTAGCAGTTTAAGCAGCATTAGTAATACTAATGAAACCTTAAAATATCCCTGAACAGTACTCACTTCCTTAATCAAAACAAAACGTACTAAATTATGTAAGCTTATTCCTTGACTTAGTATGTATATAAGAAACTTACTGACCAACTATCTCTTTGCTCTGAGTGAAAAGGATAAAACTTCGAAGAGCTATTATATCTGCTTATCACTGTTAATGCACTTAAATATCAAATGCTGAACAGAGCTGTTTGATACCTGTATTTATGAATAGGTAATTACTTCTGTGTATTTTACACAGTGCATTTTACACTCCTGTCTCAGAAAAGAATAAACATTAACTAACAGGGCCTTACAYACCTTTCTTGTCAATCTTGATGCCTTAGTTTCTTCTGAAATGTACACTAAATATTAACCTGCTTAAAATCTTTGAACTATTATTTATATAACCTMTTTATATGATTCTTCATTTAGGATTTCAAGCATACGAAGTCCTTTGTTATTTARAAGATTTCAGCCTCTGTGAGGGACCTCAAATGACTACTTGTTATACAAAAGTATCAAAGTGTCCTGGTTTCAGCTGGGATAATTTTCTTCATAGTAGCTGTGTTTGGGATTTAATTTGAGAATAAAGTTGATAACACAGTGACATCATAGTTGTTGCTGAGTAGTGCTTACTCCAAGTCAAGGAGTCCTCAGATTTCCACGGTCTGCCAGTGAGGAGGTGCTCAAGAAGCAGGGACAGAACCCAGCTGGGACAGCTGATCTGAGCTCTCCAAAAGATATTCATAGAATCACAGAGTAAGCTGAGTTAGAAGGTACCCGTTACAATCATCGAGTCCAGCTCCTGGCCTGGCAGAGGACACCCCAAGAATCACACCATGTGCCTGAGAATGTTGTCCAAATGCTTGAACTCAMACAGGGTCGGTGCTTGGTGACCAYCCCCACACCAGAATGYCATGCCCAGTATATGAACGGGGAAAGTGGGCCAGGAGGAGCCGATGCCTGCTGGTGAACGGGCTGGGCATTGATCAGCAGGTGGGAGAAACTTGTGCATCACTTGTCTTTCTTGGGCTTTATTGTCTCTCCTGTTTGTTACAATTAATATTATTATTGTCATTAGTAGTATTAATATCCTATTTTACTTTGTTTGAATTAGTAAGCTGTTGTTCTCTCAACCCACCAGTTTTACTTTTTTCCCAGTTCTCCCACCAGGGCTGGGATGGGAAAGTGAGCAAGCAGCTGCATATGGTTGAGCTGCTGGCTCTAGTTAAACCCTCACAGTCCTTTTTGTCACCTAATATGGGACTCAAAAGGTTGAGATAAAACCAGATCTGACCAGAGCATGYTAAAACAAATTTAAGTGTTCATTGTACTGGTTTAATAGTTGCTGGTCACCATATTGATTCATTTACTCTAGGCCTGGGTTAAGGTTATCACTGCTGTTCTGTGTTGTACTGGCTTGTGGTATGACAGAATGGTTGTGAGCCTGCCTGGTGTTCGTCCCCTCTGTCCTTCGAGAGCCATCTGGTGGGAGCTATCCACAGTTACATCTACTSCCTTTTACCTCAGAGAGCCAACCCATGGGAAAAACAGCTTCCTTCCCCTCCAGGACGATTACAGGAGCATTTGAGAATTTTAAAGACGTTGTATATCCTGTGACTACCCTTGAAAGTGGCCTGGTCCTGATCCTTTTGCTAACAACCAGTATATTGTTGCATACGGTTCAGGCCTTCTTTAGGGTTAAGCAATGATCTTTGGCTACCAAAACCCTGGCAACACGTACTGTGCCYACACAAACTTCAGTGGCAGGCCAGCAAGAGGATACAACTCAATCCTAATTCCTGCGTGAGCTGCGTGATGTAAATATTTCAGCTGTTGTGCTGGTGAGCTTCCCCAGTGCTGGGATAATGTGGCTAGTAGATTGGAATTACAGGGTAGGGATCACTTTCTAGGAAAGCAGGCATTAAAAAAGTTATTGGAAAGGAACACAAGTCCTAAGCCTCTGGAMGTGATTCCTGTCAAGCATGAAGGAAAGGTATCCTTACAAGAAAGATATTACATATCACCACACAAATTGAAAGATATCCAATACCTGCCTGAAGTAGTTGTGCTAGAGATTATTTATTTTGACCTAGTAATACAAGGTTCCCACAGATCTGGACAAATTCTTCTGCAGTGACCCATGTGGTCAAAATTTATACAGAGTGTACTGAGAGCACACACCAACCCACTGGCAACATTMATCTGGAAAGACACCACACCACCATCTGTGGATACAGTGGCTTGCCATCTCTGAGAATATGAAGACAATCTCTCTTCCCCTCTCATCTAATCTGTGGAGAAACTATCAGATAAACTGTCCCAAGAGTTCCAGCAGTTCAAAGAGGGTATGTTCTATTCCCCACTGTACAGACCCATGTCTCAGCTAATGACAGTAAGCGTTGGCTCTAGAGGGAGGATTTAAAAAGTACACACCACAGGATATGCTGTGAGTTTAGCTGAGAGACCACAGTGATGGCATGAAGAATTGGGATGGAAGACCTACCTTGACCCTTAAAGACACGGGTACATGAATTGCAAGGGAAAATAATCCCAAATGGGGCTTKTTACAGGAAAACTGCTCTAGGACCTGAACACACTTGGTAAGGCGGGAGGATGGGTGATGGTTTGTACATTGAGTGGATTTGATTTGGGGTGAGAATAGCCAGTGAACTGTGTGATGTTAATTGCTGTATAACATTGTGTATTAACACTTCAGTGTCAGCTGTGCACCCACCACTGCACTGGGCACCCCATGGTGCTTATCTCCACCCCTCCAGCTTTGGGGATCTGAACCCAATTCCTCTTCAGTTGCCGTATTAAAAATGAACTTYRATGAAACCAGACAAGCACAGCAGTGGTGGAATCAGAACTGGCTTCAACCTGCAACAATCCAACATGCAACAATTCAGTGATGGAATCAGAACTGGYTTCAACATGCAACAGTCCAACRYGCGACAATCCAACCCTCTTTCCTACCCTGAAAGACTGTTTATGACAGATGGAGCCAAAAGTCACAGACTAAATTAACTCAATAGACAATAGGGATTATCTATAGACTAAGAAAATGATATCTTGTTTATGTATATACGTGCACCTACAAAAAGATGGGAAAGATGGTGGTGGATTGCAAGGTGTGGGACCGGGCATGACGCATATGGTATGGAGTAAGCAGCTAATACTATTCTGGTTTCAGCTGGGAGTTAATTTTCTTCTAGTAGCTGGTAGAGAACTGTTTTTTCAAATAGTATGAGAATAATGCCAATAACACACTGGTGTTTCAGTTGTTGCTCAGCAGTACTTACACTGAGTCAAAGACTTTACAGTACCTGATGCTCTGCCAGTGAAGTGCTCAAGTCATGAGGGAACAGGGCCTGGACCCTGATGTGAACTGGCCAGAGGGAGATGGAACATCATGCCCAGTTTATAAACTGGGGAAATTGGCTGGGAGGGGCCAGTCACTGCTGGGGGATGGGTTGGGCATCGGTCAGCAAGTGATGATAAGCACTTGTACTGTGTATCACTTGTGCTTCTGAGGTTTTATCTCTCTTTCCCTTATTATTACTTTGGTTTAATTATTTAACTGCTTTATCTCAACCCATGAGTTTTGTTTCCAGTTCCCKTCATAGCAGGGGGAGGGGAGAAGGAGTGGACCAGTGACTGTGGGGTSCTTAGTTGCCAGCTGGGTTAAACCACAACACCAAGGGATCTTTTGACTTCTGCTCTGTAAATATTGTTTCCATGTATTACATACTGAAAATAAAAACTGCCAATGTTTAGTCAACCTAGCTGTGATGGCATTTCAAAAAAACAAAACAACCCCCTAAAAAAACTTAAAAGATAAATTAATTTGTATATTCAATTTAGTTCTATGTGTGGCTTCTCACTTTGTTCATCTGTACGTGCAATGCAAGATTTCACTCTTGCAGCTTAGAGCAATCTATTCGAATAACTTTCATAGATAACCTYGCTACTTGTGTCTCAACCACTGTCAAGGGCTTAAGTTCTCCTGAAATTCTGATTTACCAGGACTTTGAAATTGTATTAATTTGCCAAAGCCATCTCTAAGTGTGTAGCTGTGCAGAAGTAAACTCACTAYGCTCACAGAATTAATCTTCCTGTAATAAAAACTCAAGCAGTGTTTCAGTATCTAATGTGGAAGTCTCTCTATAGGCTGCATATATAATTTCATTCTGAAGAAAAATTGTGTCAGTACACTTCAAATTGTAGTATCTAGACCCTACTGTTGAAGTGCTTGTTTATGTAGTTTCTCAGATAATTATTATAAATAAATAGCTTCTCAGAAGCTGAGGTGTTCATGTCAATAATTCAGTCACAGAAATTCACACATTACAACCTCATTAGCAGATTTCAGTTTCTTCTGGAAGATCAACACTTCATCACCTTCGTGTTCATTGATGTTCAGTGTAGAATTAGGGCATTTGTACTTAWGCTTTTGGCTGTGCAGCTCCATCACTACTGTAGGGCTTTGCTACAGACTTAAGGTTCRTGGAGTTTTTTGCAGAACCTTTTCGGATGTGACAAACTCAACAGAACAAGTAGTTCCTTCATGGTGTACCATGACAATTTACACAACATAGGTYACAGGAGTTTTGCAGTTAATACTGAGCAGCACTACTCCGCTGCCTCTGTCACCCAAGAGTTGATCCCTGCTAACTATGCTGACCATGTAGTTAAGAGCTTCTTCACACCACTGAAATCAAACAAGCGCTACGTTTATTAAATTATAACTGGTGCCACATTCAGCAACTCCATGGCTGTACAGTGTTGTTCAGTATACAAGCTGCAGAGATCACTTCGGAGTCTCCTCAAACTTGGGCTCTACAGGAAGAATGGGAAAGACAGAAAATTCCTATTAGTCTCTTTTTATTCCATCTTCAAACACCACAATTAATTTGTAATTCAAACAAAACAAACCATTAAATTGGCAAGCTAAAGCAGTACATTGCAGTCTACAGTCCCACTTACTGATTAAATGTGAGCAGCAATAAACAGTAACTATGCTGGAGACAGATCTTTTCTGCCTTGAGGGAGTTATGTATAAAGGCTAAGCCTCAGTAACATTCTGCCAAAACAGCTTTTAGCAACACATGGGATAGGGGAGAAGACAGCAGAGAAACTGGAGAAGTCAASCAGAATGTTACTGGACGAGTATTTCCATCACAGGTCTGATACAAGCACAAGTAACCAGGCTCTTCTCTCCATTTGATTACTGTRTTATCAGTGTGTATCAACAGAGAGGATCACACCATTTCAGCTCAACTCAGCAAGATACTCTCCACATGCAAACACTGACCAAGGAGTTCTTGAGGGCTCTGGGCATCTGAACTAGTAATGCCTGTCCTCCTTAATACAAAGTCTGAGAAACAGAGCTCAGYTTATAGTAATCTCACTAAGACAAAAAAAGTGTAGTTCCTAAACATTTAATTACTCAGATTTGAAACACTACKGAAATTAGATCAACAATAGCCAAGCATGGTAAAAGAACATAGTCATATACGTGTGCATGCTTTGTTCTATTCCTATGGACACAAATTCTTTTTCCTTAAAAAAACAAGCATGATTTTAATATGCATAGTTTCATATAAAATAAAACTGAATATAAAAAGACTACATCCCTCAAATTATGGAAAAAATTAAAAAGAAAAACCACAGATCCTACTTTACAAGTATTYTGTTTTATCAGCACAAGTAACAACCTGACACCAACTTTACCCAACAGAAATACAACCAAAACACAAAACCTTTTCATGTGCGTTCCTAGTCTAAATTAGAATTTCCAGATAGTCTGGTCAGAATTACAAGTCACTGATTATGGTGGTTTGGCCTTGGCTGGCTGCCAGATACCCWCCAAGCCTCATGCTGTCTGCYCTYTCCTTTCCACACTAAAACAAGCTTAGAGCAGTTAAACGAAGTGATATCCAAACAGCTGAAGAAAAAGGTAGTAAGAAAGTTAAGTCCTATGTTCACTTTCTGAAATCACTGACTTTCCAGAGGAGCTTACAAAATCAAAAAAGTCACAATTTGAATGATATAAGACTAATAACTTTATAGTCTACTGATCTCTTTGGCAGAATGAGAAAAATACAGGCCCTGGGCTATTTCTATTTGAGCTCTTTCTTTATCATCTGTGAAGGACAATTAAGATAGCCTGATCTAACTGCAAGTTTTGTTAATCATCAATATAGGAAGATCACATCTCTGCTAGAAAAGGCAAATGATCAAAACAGGGGTCACATGGAATCAGATGTGAACTGTACAAAAGTAAGATTCCCAGAGGGCATTTTACATTAAATTAATGGCACAAATATAAACTAAATAGGTATTAAAAAAAAACTGTGAGTAAACACATCTCTACTTGCAATGAAAAATCAGTAAGATTGAGAACTCACCCTCAAATTTAAATTCCGGAAACTTGGTGAGATCTCCCTCACCATAAGCTCGTTGGAGTCTTGCAAGGGATTCATTCATGTCTTTCTGAAAGTCAGGTCCTGCATCAACGGGCCCTCCAGCTTGCCTAAAAAAACATTAAAACTTGTGATTAACAACTCAGTTCTAACATTTCGTGTGAAAAAAATCTACATTTTCAAACCTGTTTATGAATTTTAAATCTTTTCATCAACCAAAGGAAATAATTTAAAATATTTCCAAAACTCAAGATATGACACCTTAGGGTCTCCTTATCTCACACATAAACAAGATCCTCAAGGTAAAGGCCTTCTACTATCAGTGATGAAAATCCAGCYATCACTGATGAAAATCCAACCCTTTTCAGACAAAAGGTGGTCTTATGAGGCAAAAAAACTACACTGATAAGTATGCAGACTCTCAGGGCTTTTAGTTTTGCTTGTTCCAGGTGAGAATTCCTAACAAAATTGTGATTTGCACCTCTGGTATTTGAATTAGTCATCCTGGTTAACAAAGCTAACTGTTCTTGCAAACACGCTTTGAATGCTAAAGAAGCAAAAACCCCCCACCACAAAATGGGATACAAATATTAGATAACAGTAACTCTTTAGATTACCAGCACTCAGTCGTATCAGCACAGGATCCACACTTAGAATTGGTAAAACTACCAAATCTGTCTTCCTACACAGACTGGTTTGTAGGTAAGGATACACACATCTTCCACCAGTACAGCTAAGAACTGTCTTATTTCCTTTCCAGGCATAGTTCTCAAGAATGAATTACACAGAATTACTATACTTTTAGCTTCCTGGTCAGTAATTCGTTCAAACATTACAAGAATCTAGGATTCCATTTGAAAGAACTGCTTATTACATGAAGATGTTAAATGAACTGTCCTGATAGTTCCATTAATTCTCTATTGCTTTTRGAGAGTATTTCCATTCAGCTYCWGGAAACAAGACTAGAGAATAGTTTTCTCCAGCCAAAAAAAAAAAGAAACAAGGAAAGGGTTTGTTTGGCTTTTTTCTCCTATATTTATAGAGTATAGATGGGTAAAAATTAACATACCAGTACATTCATGTWGTGTGCAAGAAACCTTAACTGAGTGCCTTCACTGCCCAAGAAGACTGACATCAGGTTCTTTCTTTTATAAGCGAAAAAAATGGATATTTTCTATTAGGTATGCAAGAACAAGCCTTTTCACTAGTGACACCATCACTAAGTGTTGCAAGAAAACACACCTTAAATATTTAGGAACCAGCCTACAAAATKATCAAATTGTAGGCAAAAATCAAACACTTTATGTCTGATGTTTTTATGTCAAAATCAACAGACTTTCACCTTTTGCCATCTGCCCCCTCCTTAAAACAGTTTCCTTTACTTACTTGCTCTTCGTGTTGTACTCTCTGATCTTGTCCAAGAAGAGTTTCTGAACCGGGTCRAGCTCTTTTGTCTTGTTGAAGACAATCGCAGAGAGCCCAATGTTCCTGCGCAGGTGAACGGACGCAGAGGAGCGGAAATGGGCGGAAAGCCGCAGGATCTGTCGCAGGATCATGATGGCTCTACTGCCTTAACCATCAAAAAACACCAAAGCAGGAATAAAGAATTAGTCACTGCAACATAAATGCATAAAAAATAAGGAAGAAAACAGCCTAGAGGTGAAGCCAGCCAAGTATTTAGCGGATATTTCCTTTATTAAGACATTATTAAGACAAATGCATAGAGAAGAAAGAAAAATGTACTTTGTAGCTGAACTTTAAAGTAGAAAGGTATTCAAAGGTTATTTAAAACAGCATGRGGGGAGGGTGAAATTCCAGCAGCCACTGAACCCGAGGGCATCGTGACACCGATCAGCTCAGCTCCGCGGCYTGTTCAGTACGGAAACGCAACCGAACAACCCAGGCAAACCGGTTCAATTCCGTTGTTCCCGTTGTTTAAGTAAAAAAATAAAGTGACAATTTCAAGCCAGCAAAGCTCCCCCAGTCACCTTGGCAGAATCACCGCCGCCGCCTCCTCTCGGCCTCGCCCCCGCGCGTTGCGCGCCGGGAACCTCGCCCCCCGAACGGTGCACGCCGGGAAACCCCCCCCTCACCCCCCATTCCCCACCGCGCACCCCCGGAGCTTCCCCTTCTCATTCCCMCACACCGCCCGGCCCTGCTCGGCGCCTACCGGGACCTGGGGTAGCGCGGGGAGAGCCCCAAGGAGAGCCCAGCACGCAGCGCGCCCGCTCAGAGCCGCCTCTGGCTGAGGGGAAGCCCCTCGAGGCCTTCCGGAGCCGCGGGGGCCGCCGGGAGCTGTAGTTCCCGCGCGGGGGCCGCCGGGAGCCGTAGTTCGTGCGGGGGCGCGGTGGTGTCACGCGCTTTCCCCGCGCTGGGCCCGCGCTCCCCGATCCTGGCGGGAGCCGCTCCCGGAGCCAGCCCTGGACCCGGAGCTGTGGGAGCTGCCGGACGCGGACGGACGGCGGGACGTGTCGGTGCGGCGGGCGGACGGACGGACGGACGGACGGACGGTGGCGGCGGGTAAGCGCGGCCCGGCCCGTGTTTTGTTTCCGTTTCTCCCCCGGCGGCTCCGCGATCCCATTTCCGTTTTGGGTTCAAAAAACGACACGGAGGCGCCGCGGGAAGCGAGGCCTGCGGGGAGATGGCKCCTCGGCGGGCGCGGGGAAGGGCCTCCGGAATCCAGGAGCGAGTGCTCCCGCCGCAGGGCTCGGGCAGCGCGGGCACGGGTTTGTGAGGCCTCCTCAGCGCGCAAAAACTTGTGCCCRTTTGTAAATACTTTGTTTTGGGTGAAAACGTAACAGGATGTGGCGTCTTGTGGTTCTCCCCTTGCACTGGTGCGAAGCATGTCGAGTGATGTGTCCTGTTCTGGGCCACTCGCTTCGAGAAGGACATGGAAGGGCTGGAGCGAGCCGAGAGAAGGACAGCGGAGCTGGGGAAGGGTCTGGAGCACAATTCTGATGAGGAGTCACCCTGGGGAAAAGGAGTCCCGGGGGCACTCGATCGCTCTTTACAGTTCCTTGCCAGGAGATTGCAGCCAGGTGGGGATCGGGCTSTGCTCCTYGSCAAACCAGTAATAAAAGTCTTAAGTTTAAGACTGTTAAGCCGTGCCCCGGGAGGTTTAGGTTGGACACTAAGAGGAATGTCTTCACTGRAAGGGTGATTAGACATTGGACCAGGCAGCCCAGTGAGGTGTTGAAATCACCGTCCTTGGAGATGTTAAAGGAAAGATGGAATGTGKCATTTAGTGCCATGGTCTAGTTGAGATGGTGGTGTTCAGTCATGATGATCTCGCAGGTCTTTTCCAGCCTGATTGCATTGCATTGCCGTGATCTTGCGTAGTTAGCTTGCTGTTGTTCGGCCTGGTACATGCTGCACATGGCTTTATTTTCTCGCTTCAGGTCGTCGATAAAGAAGTTAAACACATCAAGTCTGGCGTGATTTTCTCTCRTTCTGTTCAGTGCTCCACTATTTCTGTCATGAATCCAAGCTGGCTGATGAGTTGTGAAAGACAATCTGTGCAGGACAGGCTGTCTGCTTTGTTACCTGCTTTGTGTTGATATTTACAGTTTGGATAATACGGATGGATAGGAACCATGTGCTGCACACACCAGAGCTTCTATGGGGCACAGATAACTCCAGCGACTGGGCTTCAGTATCAGCTGATAACGTGTATGGGCTCCAGAGCTGAAYCCCATCTCACAGTTACCTGGTGTGATAGCAAACATTAATTCTACTCAGAGAGTTTGCCCATATCACACTGGACCCATTTCTTGCTTAACTCCCTGTGTTTTAGGGAAAAGATAGATCTTTAACAGGACAAAGGGACTACTCCCTTGATTGTAAAAGATCCTGGAGTAGCACTGGGCTGTCATACAAGGGAAAATTGCTCTGTTGACAGGTGCCTTCTCATATGTTAGTGTTAGTTTCCTCCAGGGAATCAAAAATATAGCAGAGCCTGTGAGAGTCAACCATGAGAGCTGCCTTTGAAGAGGGAATGAACAGTTACTAGTCCAGCTGCCAGTTTGGAGTCCATAGGGACTTTTAAATGCCTTACCTAACTCTCTGCTGTTACTATGGGCAGTGGTACTTTCTCACTCTGCATCATTCTGCATTTAGCCATATTGAATATTTTCTGCCAGAAATCTATCAAGATGGTGAGTTCTTTCTGTAAGTCTACACTGTTTTCTCAATAAATAATATACAAATATGTCCAGGAACAGAAATCCCAACCTAACCCCAGTTTACCTTACTAGTAAATTCCTTTCATCAYAAAAAGTTAATTTACCTTTGTTTTGTGTTTTTTATGTGGTTGTTAATACAGAAAATACAATCACCCCTCTTTCATACCAGTTTGCTTCTTTGGGKGTTTTCAGTAAGGGACATTGCTCAAACCTCGGTTTTGAAATATTTTTTAAGTCTGGCAGATTACCTGTAATAATGCAGGTGTCAGTGCATTCAGATGTTTGAGCCTGTCTGCATTCTTCAGAAGTTGTGTTTCAGTGTTTCCTATTTATCACGAGGATAATACACAAGATTAAATGATACAGGCATTGGACTCCAGGGGCCCTGTTCAGTAGACACTACCCTGGCCCTTTGGGCATTTTCACAGAGCTGGATCTGTGACCAAGTTCTGGGTTTGCTTCTAGCAGTTAGATATTGATATTGATAAGGTGATCTTTTACTTTCTAACCTTGGTAGCRTCTTACAGAATGGACCACATGCAGCACTTGATTTCTTCACAACTGATCTTACAAAATATTTTTTGAAGGAGATGATGATTAGTTTGAATTTCTTTAGACAGTTTATGTAACAGCTGTAAAACATTAAAAGGTTACTATTGCTTTTGAGAAGGTTACTATTGTTTTGAGAAGATTAGTAAGCATCCTTATTATCTTGTCTTCAGTAAGAACTCTTAGTTAGGTTTGGGATAGAGTAGTCCCTGGGAAATTATGATTCCAATGGAAATCTTGATGATCCCTTCTATTTTGGATATTTAAATAGAAGTCATKTTTTGCTTTTTCTCCAGTGTTTTTTTTTCTTTCTCTGTATTTCTAATTTCTGCACCTTTTGCTTGAGTACATGATATTATTTATTGTAAACTGTTAATATAATTGGGCCTGGGTTTTTATCATAGGTATTTCACAGTTATGGCATATGTTCTGCTTAGTGAAACACAATAATACCAGACAAACTATGTCTTTACAGACCAAATGATGTAATTCTTTTATTTCCCATTTATATTCCCAACAGGGAATGTTTTACAGGACATGAAAATCTGCAGTGTTAGTGAGAATGTCATCACAAAATAGCTTTCCCTTTCCTTACTAACTAAAGTTTGGGACTTTGCAAGATACATTCATGTGCTCATGTCATAAACTGTTTGCCTGTCGGAGGCATGGGTGGAAAGATGGGACAGTCAACAAACAATTTGTTTGTTGAAGACATTTATCTGTGAAGAAATCACGGGTCTTCTCCCTAAGTTCCTTCTGCAGCATTTAATAGAAAATGCTGCTTGAACTTACRAGCATCTTTCGGCCATGCTAGGAGGGTAGTTTGAACTTTCAGATGTGTTTTCTGTAAGTGGCCTGCAGCAACAACAAGATAATCCATAAATTTGGGTGCCTCCAAGAGAATCAAGCTTTTGGCTCTTGCAAATGTCTTAATAGTCCTGTGTTTGCTTCTAGAACATTTGTTGGAGAACAGGTATAGTAATATATTTTGTGAAATCTGTATTAGCTTTTGGATTTATTTTTTAGATGAATTCTTGGCTTTAAAAGCTATTCTGGTCTTTGATAGGACACAAAACATTGTCTAGTCTTCTTGGTCTGTGACTTACACAAAAAATTCTTTTTTGTTCATAGCTCTGTTCTTAAGACATTGCAGCCATGACTAAGAGAGAGGCAGAGGAGCTGATAGAAATTGAAATTGATGGAACTGAGAAACAGGAATGCACCGAAGAAAGGTAGGTACTGCCTTTACTTTTTGGTATCCTTAGGCAGCAATTAATAAACTAATTAGATTTTCTGTTTCTTAGCTAATTAAACGGGGATTTTCTAGAAGTTGAAGTGTAGCCACTATAGGAAATCAGTATAGTGCCGTCATGTTCCTCAGTCTTAGTTAACTCTCAAACTGTTTTGGTTATCTCTTGTTACGTTATTAGTACTTTACTTTTCTTATATGCATGTCTGTAGTAGAATGTCTGTGAGTGTGCTGCAAACCTTTCTGTTTCAGTGTATTCTTCTATAATTGAAATGAACCTTTCTGTTTCTCCAGTCCTTTGCTTTACTTGTGTACAGGATCATTTGTTTTCAACAGTGCAGAAATGAAACTCAGTATCAGCTGTGCTGTTGTTAGGGCCACAGAAACCATAGATACGGAAGTAGGATACCCTCTGACTTTATAACCTCAATCTGAATTTTTAGTTCCCAGTGCTTCCCTTCTAATTTTCACTACTGTGTTTGGAAGCTCAGAGCATCAGTTACTGTGTGGGATAGAAAGAACTGAGGTTGGTTAGGTTAAGTGTTCTTTAAGAACCTGTTCAGGAGAAGCAATTCAAAGACATTTGCTAGTTTCTTACTATTCTGAGCTCCTTGTATATTTTTACTACTTACAGACTATGTCTGTGTACATTCTGATTTCCTTCTGTGTACATGAAGAGAGCCCAACTGTGTAAGGTCATTGTTATAGCACGAATCCCATAACAATGATATTTATGAATGCCTGTGCCAATACTGTCACTGCTATAGTTCAGGACAACCATCACACATGACAAATGGTTCCTTCRAGGCTCCATGTTGCTGTATTTCCTTCTGGTTGTCCCTTGTATGTGTTAAGCTTGTTATTCTTGTGCTGACTGRTGAAAATACATGGGAAGTTGCTATGTATAAGTGTGAGCATTTTTTTCCTTCTATTTTCTGTGTCTGTGAAGTTTCTGTGTTTTTAACTTGAATATCTTTTAAATGCAGTCCAGGCAAGGCAAACAAAATTAGTTTACTCTACATGCAAGTTAGCAATATGTATACGTTAACYATGGCTTACTCTCTTGAAAAAGGTGGTTTGAATCTTGGTACTCAACCCAGCTTTTTAGCTGTGACAGGGTGAAAGAAGAGTTACACAACTGTAAAATTACTGAGACCAAGTTTAATAATTCACTTGCTACTCAAATGAAGAATACTCAAACTAATAGTGCATGATATTAATATTTCAGAGTCGGTATTACCTTTTATCTGGTTTACTTAYAACTTTTATTAAGCTTTCTTATATTTGCTCTATTAACATGTAGCTAATGATTTATTATATTAATTTGCTATTTAAGCATTGTCGAGCAAACCTACACCACAGCAGAATTTGTGAGTCAGGCTATTGACATCAATGAGCCCATTGGAAATCTTAAGAAGTTACTGGAACCCAGACTGCAGTGTTCCTTGGATGCACATGAAATTTGTCTGCAAGATATTCAGGTAAATTGAAAGGCTATGAAAGATTTAACCTCTTAATTAGAGAAGTGTTTTACATACTTTTTACTTTCCTTCCATTGTCGAAGGAATTCATGCTTCATTTTAAATATTTATTACAAATAAGAGTTTAATTTTATGTCAGGTTTATTATCATCAGACCATTTAATATATACACRCTAATTCAGTATGAATACAATCAAAATATTTTTGGAGTTCCTGGTGTGGGATTAATAAACCACCTTGCGAGTGAAAGACAAATGAGGGCGATGACTATTATTTTCTCTTGAGGTAGACCATTTGTTGCTGCCTGAACTTCCATGAGTTTAATCTTGTTTTGAACTTAAATGAGAAGGTTTCTGATTTTGTTCAGGTATAGAGGTAGCAAAGCCTTACTCAAGAAATCCCCCCTGGCTTTTAGAGGCATTGCCACGTGTTAGAGGGTATAACTGCTTTGCATTACATTTAGCTACATGTTTGATTTGAAGTTATAATCAGACATCTGTGGCTTTTCCAGAAATAATGGGAGAATATTGTTATGAAGGTAAGAATTTTTATGAAGGTGTTAAAAACACAGAAAAGGAGCTGTAGGTAGTTTTCAGGTAGTGAAGATACTTCTCAGTAGTGCATTGCTTCTTTTAGGTCAAAAAATGTAAGCAAAASCACCTTAAACAGAACAGAGTGGCAAGTTTCAAATATGATCAAATCTTTTCTGTTATGTACCATGTCTAGGCAGTGCTAAAAATATTTGCACATTTCTTCAGAAAATTTTTTGCAGTCACCAAGTGCTTCTAAAGTTTAAAGGAGGATAAGTTTATTGTAGCTGTGAGACTATTACATATTTAAAATATTTTTATCCTTTTATCAAGCTGGACCCAGATCGAAGCCTTTTTGATCAAGGAGTGAAAACAGATGGAACAGTGCAACTTAGTGTGCAAGTAATATCTAGGCAAGGTAAGCAGTTACATTTGTCTGTTGTACAAACTAATATTGCAGGAATACTTGTGGGCAATCCTATCTCCTCCTATTCCTAGCTGTAAAATTGAGAAAATCACTGAATGGTCACRGAGGTCCAGAATGTCTTTTTAATTGTGTACTGTAGTTATAAGTAGTAAAATTAAAATTGTGTAATGGACTAATTAAAAGGTGTGATGGACTAATACTATTTGAARTTGTTTTTAGGGGAATTTCATATAATTTTTACAAGTAACAAAAACAAACATAAATCCAGAACCCACACAACTCTGTCATGTGGTATCAGTTACAGTATGAGGTTTTCCTSAAGATTGAGTAGTTACTCATATCAGACCAAACAGTAAAACAGGCAAAAAATTTTTGTGAAGGTAGGTGCCAGTTTCACCCCTGTGAGGTGAGTGAGCCTGTGTGCTTTAGGAACAATCATATTATGAAAGTAAATGTAGCTAACTGAAAATTTTTATCAAGGTCCAGGATCAGTGTCTATTGTCTGTTTTCTTTGGATCAGAAGTCAGACTAAACTATTGTGACGAGAGCATGCATTAACCAGGTGGGTAGGGATTTGTTGAAGCRTAACTTATTTGTATTATCTGATATGACAGGATTTCCCTTTGTCAAATCCTCAGGAACTAGCAGCTTCATTGTTGTGCTTTTTGTCGTGCATATGCCCCTCTATAAAGACCACTCTTTAAAGTCTGTGTTCATATTCGTCTGTGGGAACAGCTGCAGGTGTTTATTTCCTTATTTTCAAACAGGGACAAGTTCYTGCTGGAGTGGATTGGTTATCTGAGTTACATCAGCAAAGCAAACTAGCAAAATTTGGGGAACACATTTTTGGTTTTTTTTTGGCTTCATTGTAGATTAGACAGAAGAAAACTTTTCTGCTTTATATTAACAGTCTTCAGTAAGACACAATTTGTATTTAATGCTGAGTGTCAGGTAACTAGTGCTAGGTTGAGTCCTCAGTTCCCCATATGTAATGGGAAGTGTACTACCTTTCTGCTTTTAAATAGAACAGAAATACCCTTCAAGGAATTAGAAAAACATGTAGTATTCTGTATTCAGACTTCCATTTTCAAAAGGATGCGAATGATAAATGTCTTCACTATCATCTTCCATTTTCTTCCTGTGTTTTGTTTTTTCCCTTTAATATAAAACTGAAGTTCATGACTTCATAGCACAGGGAGCTTCTTGCTCTGTGTCTCTGTCACACCTTTTCTCTCTCTTTCTCCCTCCCCCCACCTCAGTCTTGCATGTTAAGTACTTTGGTGTCACTTTGGAACATYCCTCAGTGTTGTTTTTCAGGCCTTGATACTTAAGCAACCTGTAAGAAATTTGACTGTTGAAGGCATGTAAAATATGGCAGAGCAGAATATCAAAAAACAARTAGCATTCATACAAATAAAAGCAAGCTATTTCAGGAAAATGGGCTTRTTACTCTTGACAGTGCCCCTTTGAGCCAGAGGGAGAAAGCAGCTTTTTACGTCATCCTTGTATTTTACTTGCGTGGATGAGATTTTGAGAGACTCAGTTCACTTAWGTTTCTTTTCCCATAACTTTCCCATAACAGCTAGGAGTAATCAGTGATGCTGAACATTGTGGTGGTTTGGACTCTCTTATTTCTTGAAAGAAAAGCTGCTATGTCTGTTCAAATGTTCCATCAAATTTTGATCAGCTGGCTTTAAATTCAAAGATACCAGATGAAATATAGTTGTTCTGTAGTCTTCTTCCACAGTTGAACTTCAGTGTGGTACTTTTATAGTGTTTCATACTACAGCAGATAAAATGCCATTCCTGTTTTTACATTATAATAGAAAGAGTGCTCTGACACTTTGCCTGGCCCTAGCTCATTTCCTCTGGTTGGAGGAATGGTGATGTGTGTGGTTTTCCTGCCCCTATGAGAGCAACAACTTTGAGTGCAGCCCAGTTCTGTACTGCTCTGAACTGGGCCTCTTGCATGGCTGTTAAACTCTGAGTAATGTGTTCCATTGTATATTATAGAATTTGAAAAAAACTTTTGGTTTGAAGACCTCTACAGTAAAATATTTTKGGGTTTGTTTTATGTAATAATTTCTGAAATAAGTAGGCTTTTGTTATTTTTAGTGTGTAAAGGAACAAATCATAAGTGTAACAACACTGATTTAGATTAAAAATGCTGTTTGACTAATGTCCTGTCTCTGGCTGTGGTTAATACRAGACATTTCAGGATGGGAGAAACCAAGCAGGCTCCCTGTAAGTCAGTCATCACCCCAGTATATTCTCTGCCTTCAGACAATTGGTAGTACTGGCAACATCTACATGTGTCTTRGTAACTCCTGTTCTTGAAGCTTTGTACTGCTTTCACTAGCCTATAATTCTGGTATGTGTGGCATTGTGTTCCACAACTTGGGTACTGTCCAAGGAAGATTGATCATCTCCTGTGCAGTAGGTAAAGGGAGATGTGAGGAAAGATGCAGACAAACCCAGGGAATTAATGTTGAGCTCGTGTTGCAATAAGTTAGGTGGTAGACTGTTAATTCACATTTTTACTTCCAGGCTGTTTCCTTGACAGAGACTCATTGCTTTGAGATTCATTTTTGTATTGTGGCTAAAGCATTTAGTTTAAGGTTTTTTTTGACATATAATTATTTGACACACAGTGAATTATTTCGTTGAGCAGTAATAAACTGTACTTCTCTAGAAGCGTTTTTCTTTCTTTTTGAAAATCAAAAATAGAATCTTAACCCTTARTGGCTTCCCTTACCCATTTTTGAAAGAAGCCTGTAGTGTATGTGTTAATCTTAGATAGCCTACATAAAACACTCTCCTAAATAAGACATTTGTTTGCTTTTTGTTCATGTTTGCTTCATCTAATCAGCCGCTTACTGGTTGTCTACATCTATTGTCACATCCTTGATTTCATTTCTGAGTTTTGTACCCTATGGTCTTTCTACTGTTTCTTCCTTTTCTAATATTTTTTTCCAAGCTGAATGCATTTTAAGATCTAGAGGAAAACTTGTCTGAAAAAGTCTTGGTTTATTCTTACCTGTAACACAGGTACATGCTCCTTTTGTTTTCCCTTACAAACTATGACTGGATTGTGGTTTTAGGTTTTAAGGCTGTTACCTGCAGAACCATCTTCTGTTAAGCTTTGATATAGATTAGACAGAAAGGGCACTAAGTAATATCTTTATGGTATAAGATACAGAAGTTGTTTTGGCCATGTGATGTTCAGTAAATCATATTTTCATCAGCCTCACCCTAGTCAAGGTTTTCCAACTCATGATAAAATGGAATTGTAAACCTTGGGGGGTTTTTATGTGAAAATATGTTTGATAAAAATCGCTTAAAGTAAGTGTGGTTGCTGGCTCTATAGTGAAAATTATGTCCCAAAAATTGAAACAATTTTGAAGAATCTTCTGTACAATGTCAGAGATCTGGTGAGGCACTAGCTGGACAAAACAGGTCAGAAGACAGCAGAGCAGGTGGTGATACAAAGCATTAGTGAATGTGTTYTTTCTTGCTGCAGAATAGATACAGACTTATCTTGTAGCTCCATGATCTRGTATCTGAAATGACAGACATAAAGCCAAAACATGAATAGCTGATGAAGCCCTRAAATGTGAAGAATTTTCTACTTTTATCTTACTGTTTAACACAGTGTCTGCTGCAGAATACTGAAAGAAAATGTTAACTGCTGTATGTGGACCGCAGAGTTATCAGAGAAGTATTGTAAAGGCTGAAAGAAATGCCTCATGGTTGGAATAAAGCTGGATGCTTGTTCTGGGTTCTTTTGGAGGTTGCTTTTTCTGTTTGTTTTGGGAGTTTTTATTTGGTATATTTGTTATGGACCAAAATACTTGTACTTTATGCCCACATGCTGACCATTCTGTTCAAGATCTGTGAACTAGATAACTTAAATGGAACAAGAAGCTGTAATACTGGGGAAGAAAGAGGGATGTTATTTACCTTACTAAGGTGTATTCTGTATAATAGAATCATTATAAAGCATATAATAATGATATATAATRTGTCATTCTCATTTAGGACACTCACAGAAATTTGATTACACTTTTGTGTCCTGTTTTTTTCCTGAGTTTGCTAACCCTCCTAATCAGAAAGCTTTAAAACAATGTTTTTCTCATATTTGCATTACCGTCTTTAAGTTTTGTGTTCTTTCCATACTTAGGGATAGAGCCCAAATTGAACATCCTGGAAATTGTGAAGCCTGTGGAGACTGTGGAGGTTGTGATTGATCCAGATGCTCATCATGCAGAGGCTGAAGCTCACCTTGTTGAGGAAGCTCAAGTGATAACCTTGGATGGAACWAAACATATTGCAACAATTTCAGACGAAACGTCTGAGCAAGTGACACGATGGGCTGCAGCACTGGAAGGCTACCGGAAGGAGCAGGAACGCCTTGGAATACCTTATGGTAATAGTGCACAGCTCTGGGTGGATTCAGCTGGGGGCTGGGCTCTTGTGTTCCATGGGGGATTGGTGCTCAGGCACTTCAGGGAAGGAAACCTGTGGTATGGGTAAGTACAGTGCAAATACCTCCATAGGTAGGAATTGTAGAATTATGGAATGGTTTGGGTTGGAAGTCCCTTAAARTCCTTAAAGACCATCTTGTCCAATYCCCTGCCATGAGCAGGGACACCTTCCACTAGACCAGGTTGCTCCAAGCACCTTCTAGCTTGGCCTTGAACATRTCCAGCAGCCACAGCTTCTCTGGGCATTGTACCAGTGCCTGACCTCCCTCACGGGAAATTTTTTTTTCCCAGTACGTAATCTGAAAACCAAAGAGAAGTAAAAGTAATGCTCCTTGTAATGGTTTCATTAAATGAGTGCTTTCATGCCATAACTACCTTGTCAATCCAATTTTTAGAAAGCACCTTTCTTCCTGCCCTCCTTAGAAATGTGTATGTTAGTGATAAAAGCTCTTCAGGTGTGTGTGGAATTGTAGACTCAGTACTTGGTGGGCATTGCGTATAATGTTGCTGAAACAAATGGACTGGAGGATGCTGAATATTTTGCTAAATCAGATTTTACATGAAAAGCTGTACTGGACTTCATCATACTGGAGGAAGATGATTCAGAACTTAAAATAAATATTCTGATGATTATCTTTTTTTAGTTAATGTTCTTACTTAGCATATTGCTCTTTTAATGTTGGCTAAAAAAACCATCTCTGAATGTCTGTTTAAGATTGAACTGGCACTATGGGGTATAGACCTATATCATGTTTGGGAGATTATCCAGCTGAATTGCTTCTTGTGACTGGCAGAAATGTACTGTCAAGGCGTATTCAGGAAGCTGTTACATATGAGCAGACATGTGCAACTGGAATGTATTTGGCAAGGGGGATGTTCGGAAGTGTTTAAGAATTRTAGTCAAGTCAAAGGTCTCTGCAGGACGTGTAGTTTGCCAATATTTTGAGTGTATTTTTTATAAGTAAAGCAATAGGCTTTTCATGGCTTTTTGTTTTTCTTATTGGTAAGCACTTCAAAAGTAGTTTTCATCATGTTATATCTGTTGATAATCAGGGATTTGATGCAGAAAGTTTGAAAAAAAGGTGARGGATTATCAGAAGCAGACTAATACTTTTCATCATGCTTTCAACATTAATATCAGAAGAAAATTACTTGAACTAATGTTGTTATGTTGAATWATATTTTAATAAACTTTCGTAATGTTGATGCTATAAGAAAACCCCATAACCCACAACTGTGTCTTTAAAAGTTTTAACAATTTGTGGGTCACAGGATTGCAGGAAARTCATGCTAGTTTGAGATCCATGGTTTACAAATAATCGTGTTCTCTTGGTATCAGAAAAAAGTGCCGAACTACACTCCCAGAAAGAATAACATYTTTAATGCTTTCTGAGTAGACATTGTAGGGACTTGGGCTGAAATAAGGTGCCCCTAGGTTCTGCATTGTAATCCAAAATTATTTCTTGAATCCTTTCAGAAGACACGGTATGTTGATGTTAAGAGTCAAGTCCAGTCAGTAAATAATCATCCAGGAAAGTAGTGGTTTGATGTCTTCATCACTACAGGCTTCTCTGTTTTGCTGCAAATGGAAAAATTAGCTTTTAGCAGGTCTTTAAAGTGTTGTGGCTGTCTCTGTATGTTATGTTTTGGGTGGTTTTATTAGAGATTATGAATATTTTTCTGTTAAACGTATTTCTGCTATTAGAATCCAAGCATTTGGTACCTACAAGGAAGGAAAATACTAATTGTAATGAGAAACAAAGGCAGAAAAGGGAGCAGCAGAAAGCTTGGAAACYACAGAAGTGGTTAGAGACAGTAGTCATATATGTTTCCTTGCAGATTGTGTTCTGCCAATGAAAACAACTTGATTTATTTTAAAATTAGCAACTTTAATGAAAAAGTTCTCTGCTGCTAATGTTTGGAAGATCAACACCCTTGTGGTGTGTCTTTTTTTCACAGTTTGTCTTTTGCAACATTCCATTGTTTCAGGTAGCATCAGTGAAAAATCTTGCCATGTAACTGTCATTTGTTAAGCAACATTAAATTTGTAGCTCCTAGATAAATGTTTATAGACTTAAAAAGCTTTGCTTTCTTYAGTTCTTAATTTTCTTAAWTTTTTTTAAATTCACCCCACCAACCCACACCACTCCATCACCGCTGTAAGAGCAGTCACCAACTTTCTAGTCAGATTTGATCACAATAACTCTGCTTCTTGATGTTATGCATTTACTGCTGTGGAAGTTATTATACAATCGAGGAGGAACCTTGCAGTATATGTTGAGATGATTTGCAGTTTCACTCTTCTTTTGAAGACCCGGTTCAGTGGTCAACAGACCAGGTGCTCCACTGGGTGGTGTGGGTGATGAAGGAGTTCAGCATGACTGACATTGACCTCAACACGCTCAGCATCCCTGGGCGGGAGCTCTGCAGCCTCAGCCAAGAAGATTTCTTCCAGCGCGTCCCAAGGGGAGAAATCCTTTGGAGCCACCTGGAGCTTCTTCGAAAGTGTATGGCAGGCTTTTCTGTAACTGATTTTACTTATTCCCCTTCCCTGCTTCTGTCTCCCTCTCTCTCTCCCTCTCTCTCTCTCTCTCTCTCTCTCTCTTTCTCTCTCTCTCTATTTTCTTTTTTTATTTAAATATTTTTTCTTGAAATATGAAACCAATTATGAGCAGTCAATTCCCCCTTACTTAATATTGGGGATAAAAATTAAAGCATCAGTACAAGATAACAGGAGGTTATGAAACATGTCTGCATACTAAGCATTGTCTGTCTTTTATCAAACCTCATAATTAGTATAATGTAGTGAATAATTATTCCTCCTTTGTTTTTTATAAAGCTTCATAGTTTGTATATCTGCTGAATTTGTTAGTTCTATAATTAAATGTTGATTGTGAGTTATTAAATGTACACGTCTGTGTGATATAGAAGTGGAGATTATTAAACAAAGGCAGTGAGATCCTTAGATGGTACACAGCACACAGTGCAGCTGCTAAGTGATGCATTGTGTGTGCATACAGTAACATCTATGTGTGTTTTAGATTTACCATGGTTGGATATAAYTTGCCAGACTAATAACTTTCCACCTTCATTTATGTGATACAGCTTAAGATTTTTGGGGGTGGAGAATGCATAAGATAGTGGAAATTTGCCATATACTTCCTTCTAAAAATTGAGTGACAGGATGTTAAATGTCTCCACTTGTAAGACCATGAACTGTACATCTTCTGCAGACTGATAGCAATTTTTTATTTTTTTCCTCTATGAAATGTGGAAGTTTTTGATCTTCAGGTGACTTGAAATTTGTGGGTTAAATATAAACCTGCTTTTTATTTTCCAATTTGCAGATGTGTTGGCTAGCCAAGAACACTCTGGAGAAATAGCAACTGTTACTATTGATCAGCGTAAGTASTTCTGTCAGCATTAATTCACACAGTTCACTGTTTGCAGGTTTAGCACTCTGTTGTGGTTCAGCACTCTGATAGTACAACATCTAGAAAATCACTTGAGAGAATTTTTCCTTGGGGAGGAGAGGAGGGCATATTTTAAACTTCAAAACATAGMGTTGAGTTACTCTGTATGTTTGGTTATTGGTTAAAAGGCAGTGTTTGGCATGATCTGTGGAAGTTTGTAACTTTCATTTCAGATGGCAGATTTTCCACTTCCTTGAAATAAGCTGTCTAGGAAACATATTTGAGACTTTTACTTGTTTCAGGGCTTTAGGTTATATATTGCAGTAATGAATGGATCTAGTAAAATTATAATTTCAAATAAAATGGTGTTTCCAGAAACTGAAGAGGCCTGTGGTGGGGATGACTTGCTTAGGAACCAATATTAGAAATAATACATTAAAGTAACCTTCCAGTTTTTTGAAGCTCATTTTTTTAGCTGAAGCAGCATCATCAATAATTAAAATGAATCAATTTTCAGAAGACTTGTAAGCAGCTTATATGTTAAWTAGACAGACTGTTTATTATGTCCTGTGGTTGTGTCTAGTTAAAGCCAGCTTGAGTTGGTCATGCGTCCTCCTGCACCATTGCAATAGGTGTTTGCTGTTTGCACAACCTCCATACCTGAAATTCAGTTGTTATAAGAGAAGAGGGCATTAGGGCAGATCATGTGGGAACAGCATAAAGATGAAAATGAAGGCATGAGAGAGTTTGAGTTCTTTTTGTGGAAGCATATAATACATGTGAGAATAAACGAAAGCTGGTGTTTTAACTATAATGTGACACTTCTGCAATGAGTCTAAAACTGCAATTTTCATATAAGAGGTAAAAAGTCTTTAAATTATACTTAGCATTGTGACTTAATGCAGTGTGCGTTTTTAGCAAAGGAAAAAACCTAGCTTCTAGATGTTATGATAATACAGGTAATAAATAAAATATGCCAGTTTCTGTGCAAGCAATTTATAATTTATGTTCTGCAACATTCTCTGCTCTACAGCTGTTCAGATTATACCAGCTTCTGTACAGCCTGCTACCCCAACCACCATCAAAGTGATAAACAGCAGTGCAAAAGCAGCTAAAGTTCAGAGAGCTCCAAGGATCTCCGGGGAAGACAGGAGTTCCCCTGGGAACAGAACAGGTATTGCCTCCATTGTTTTTACATGCCAGTGCACTGAACACTGATTCACTAATTTGAATTATGGTTTGGTGGAACACGTCTTTGTAGCTCCAAATGTGAGGTTTGTAGGAGTCTGTGTGGTATGAAGGGAGCCATAGGTACAAAAATCCATGGTGCACACATGCAGCCCTGAGAGTTCACACAAGCACCATGTCAACRTGGTGCTGCAGTTTTTCCATCCTGCAGCAAATAAAATGCATAGATTTCCCCATCACTTAACAGTCTGTCCTCTCAAACCACTGCATTGCATTTCTTCAAGCTTTTAATTCTTTCTGCTTGCAGAAAGAGAAGAAAATAAACTTTGTGTTGTAAAATGTAGCCYAGCTGCTACTTGCACTGTCGGTTGCCCTCCTCCTCTGTCCTCCTCAGTCTGGYGACTTCAAAAWTTACARARTTTYATATTTCTTGTTTAATTAAATGAATGCATGTCTGGAAAACTGAACTAAATTGGCAGTTTAATTTTGAAATTACTGTTATGTTCTACATGCTCTCTGATTATTAATTCTTTATTTTTCCTTGTAATTTTTGTTTTGGTTGTCTTTACTGTTGTGAATTTTTCTGTTAAATACTATATTCTCTTCCTCCTTGAATTTTTATTTGTTTTAGACTCTATAAAAGCCTCTAATGATGGAATTTTTAATTTTTAGGCTAAGGTTTTATTGACTGACATTAGTGAGGAGTATTCTTGTGTTTCTCTCTTTAGTCATCAGATCTGCTCCATAAATTCTCGTTGAGAATGTAGGAACTTAACTGTAGGTACTTSACTTAGAAAGAAATCTTAATCGTTGGACATGAAAGATGTTACATTAATGTAACCTGAAATTGGGGGGGTTCTTTTGAATTTCTTGTATTTGGTATTGAAAATGGAGACCAATTTTTTGAGAGAAACAGCTTCTGTTTTACGTATATGTGCAGTGTGTGTGTGTGTGCTAAATCTGTTCTATTTTAAAGATAGATACGTGTATAAATTGTTATGTTTGGGGGGGTTGCCATTTTTGAAATTCTGGGGGAAGATTTATGCGAAATCTTGATTAATTCTTCTCCTGTGTGCATAATTTTTTAATTAAAATGGATTCTGATGACTTTGCAGGAAAATGATTACAAAAGAATCATTAGAACAGATTAATTAAGTTTTCCTTCCAYCAGATATTATGTGTTGGTCTGCTTTAATATATTGGTTGAAAATTCTTAGCTGTGAGGGCAACAYGAAAAGGACAACTTGAAGTGGAACTTGTTATTCCTGTTCCAACAGGGAACAATGGCCAGATCCAGCTGTGGCAGTTTTTATTAGAACTTCTCACTGACAAAGATGCTCGGGACTGTATATCTTGGGTTGGTGATGAAGGAGAGTTTAAATTGAATCAACCTGAACTGGTTGCACAGAAATGGGGACAGCGCAAGAACAAGCCCACGATGAACTACGAGAAGCTKAGTCGGGCTTTGAGGTAAGAAACTTTAGGAGCTCATCAGGTATGATTTGCTTCATTTGGCTRCCTCATTTTTAGTTTCCATAATGCAAAACTTTCAGCTTTTTTAGTAATGGCATAACCAAATCTTCTGGTGCTGGTCCTTGCCATGAGATTGTGTTAGTCTTAGGGATGAGGTATTCGCTGAAATTTAAAAATTTCATTTTTAAAGAAAGAATAACTGGTAGAAWAACTTCTTGAAAATAGATTTTCTTTTTTCAAGATGATTGAGTAGTTCACTTCCAGAAATATGCCTCTTTTTTATTTCTCTTCAGTAGATATTTTATTTATCTTCAATGCTTTTAGAAGCGTGCCAAACCATATTGATTATTGGTGAAAGATACACAAATATGTGAATTATTAATTTATTTTTATGTTCTGCTGTGTCTTACTCTCTTTATGGAGTAAAGCAGATACTTTTCTGTAATTGTTAGTGGTTTTCTGTATGTAACAGCCTTTTATAGCTTCAAATATTTGTTGATCCATTTAATTGCTCCTGTTGCGTGGATCTTAAATTGAAAATAYAGCTGACAGCTAAGTTTCAACAGTTGAGATTCCAACATCACAGTGATCTGAAGAAATTGAAGTGTTTCAGTGTCATCATTCTGTTGTGATTTTGTAGTTTGACGTTGGTAAAAGGGACTTGAATTGAATCACTGTGGGTGATGCACTTGAGGAGGAGCAAGAATGCAAGTACCTGAATTTTGGAGTATTTTTCCCTGATTATTTTAGTCTCTGGAATCATTTGAAAATTCATMTGCATTCTCTGAAATCATTGAGAGTGAACTTCTCATTTCTTATTCTGATATGGTTACATATATTTCTCTTGTTTTGTTTCAAGAAAGGTGTTTTTTGTCTAATCCTGTAAATTATTTAAGCAGATTTAGAAATTATTTTTGTATGAGTGAAGTTGCCTATTGATTGAGGTCTCTGTTCTACTTTTTAGCATTTTCACTTTTGGCTATGTGTTGTTTGATTGGTTTGTTTTTTTAAAGTAAACTCCTCTAGCATTGTTTAAAAAAATCCACTTTTATTTGAAAATACCTCTGTAAGAAATTATTGTAAAGTATCATATTCTGGCTTTCTTTACTTTTTTAGGGCAGGTTTAATTAGCATTTGATAGGCACGAGATAAACAGTTTAACAACACCCTTTTGTTTGTTGTAGAACTTCTTTAGGCACAGTATTGTGGACGCCAGAATTATTTTATGTTTGACAGACAAATGGAAAAATTAATGAAAATAAATATTTTAAAGAATATTAGGTATTGAAAGATGGAACTTCTAAGAGTTCCTGAGCCTCAGGTCACTGAAAGCAAGGAAGAGCATTGGTAAATACTTTCTCTCATGCATTTCCTTAGGTGTTATGATTCAGTCTGTTSTAGTCTATTCCTGTTCTAGATGGATCTTTGGAGTGGTCTTGTATGGTCATTCTTGYWTTATTTATATATGAAATAGAASGTTGATTTTTTTCRTAGAATCACAGAATCCTTTGGGTTGGAGDGGCCACAGGAGATCTCTGGTCCAACCTCCTGCCCAAAGCAGGACCTTTCCAGTACAGCTCTTCCTTAGCCTGTGTTGTTCCAATACCATTCCCATGTTTCCAACCTGTGTATTCTGTGAGTCTTTGTACTTAAGGCATATGTGAAAACCTTCTGAAACAAAAAAAGTGTGTAAACCGTGCTAACTAACGTTGGGTTTTGTCAACAAACTCTACAGAAGATATCAAAGGCAGCTGAAGAACTTTGGAATAACGTTCTTATCAGTGGGGTATTAAACAGCAATTTGCATAAATCACTATTAGAGAAGTTCACAGAAYTACAGAAATCACATTCCTCAAAGTGGTGTCATTTTGGCAGCTGCATCAATGTTGACATGTTTTCTAATGCTTTAATGTCTGAAGGGATATTTAGTTCCTCTTGCTACTCCTGTGATAAACACTGCTGCCAAGCTGAAGTTTCTTAAATGGTGATATGTTTTCTCTACTAATGTATTGAAATCACTGTGTTGATTATTGATTAATRGAGAAAATCGTGTTGGTATTATTGAGAAGTATGCTGGTTCTTCTGCCCAGCTGTAGGAAAAGTAGGCTGTATAGAAACTAGGGTGGAGGGGTAGAAAGAGAAGAGCAGCTGTTTTTTGTTACACTTATCTTGGTAAATGTTCTAAAAATCCAGATCTGTTTAGTTATCMATTAGGGAAGTGAGACTTGAAAATACTTCATGTCCTGTATTCTTCTGAARCAAAGTTTCCTTGTGTCTTGGAACATTTTGGTGGCTTTGTGAACTTGCATGGATATTTAATTTTATTTATTTTTAGCTTTCTGTATTTTTGAATGGGCAAAGGCTGTAATCAGAAATGCATTCACCATAATATTGAAAATAGCCTCTTGCCACATTGTCTGATTTTTGAGTGTTTTTAGCATAAAATATGGGAATCTTGCATGTTTTAAGCCTTTGCATAAACATAGTTAATTTTTGTGGTCCTTTTCCTTTCTGATCACATCAGTAATGTGGACTAAATCATTAAAAGTGTATTTCATTTTTTTAAAACATTGTTCTACAGCATTTTCTGAGATAGGAATGATTATACGGGATTGTACAATAAATTTAAAGGCTTGTACACAGTTAAATAACTTAAAAAATGATGGCCAACACCACTTGACATATGCCACAGCCGTATTTTACAAACTTTGCATTTCTRTGGGTGCTTCATATTGTCTCAAGTGAGCAGAGCTTAGTTTCTCTATGTCCTCTACCCTGTCATATTCAACATGAGTGTCTGCCCAGTGTTCCCACACACTATTTTCACACAGAAGGGACACACCAGGTTATTGCTCAATTCTTCCCCAGTACTGTCCAGTACTACAAGACTCTACTTCAAAGCTGAACATAAATTATCGTCCCATTCTCATGTTACAGAGTTCATCCAGCCCACTGCAAATAAACCTCAGTAAGAGGCTGAAGGTGCTGGACACCATTCTACAGCCAATCCTTCAGCTGGTGCTGAGATGTTTTGGAGGACAGGGCTGGCATGGGGAATTGCTGGGTGGAAGCTTTAGTAGCAGCCAAGAACAAGTGTAGAGATGTGGAAAAGGAAACAGAGGAGTTAAGGGAGGCAGGTGGTAGGTTGAGGGGTAGAGTGAGGAGAAGGACTRAAAAGGAAGCTTTTTAATAACTGTGTGTCATTCAGGAGCAAGCTGAAGGAGAGCTTTARCAAACAAACCACACTGTCTTTACCCACAGAGCAATAATAAGCTACTCTGACACTTCCTGTACTATGTGACAGACCTTAGTGGCTTCTTGCATGATCTCAGTAACCARCAGGCTTACCAACATTATTTTCTACTTAGCCAACATTGTTTTCTACATAGACTGTCTCTCATCTGTCTTTGGTCCTGCTATTAGGTCCTGACTCTCAAAAGTAAGAAATTAAAAGGCCTTTTTTTTCCAGAACTTGAGACATCTGAAAAATTTGCTTAGACTCATAGTAACTTACCTCTTTTCTGCTTGAGCTGGGAGTCAGAAGTTCATCTTTTAATTGACTTAATTTTGCTAGTGAACAAGAATCATCTTTGCTTTATGAACATGTCACTCACAGGATTGAGTTTTAGGCAGTYAAGAGATCTGGGTTCATTTGTGCTACATTTGGGTGATGGTTTTGAGGAAATTAAATTGTGTGATTTATATTGGTTGAGTTTTTATTATTTTCCAAATTTATCACAAGCTTATTAAGCTCATCAGATCCAAGTTACATCCCAGCCACTTAAGTTTGCTTAATGAGAGACGTGACGTGCATTCTATGAAATCTTGCAGTGAGAGAAGGACAGCAACCTAACTGCAAGATTCTAACTTCTGTTTTATTRGTGTGACCTAAAGTTTTTTAACTGTTTCTGGAGTGGAGGGAGGTCATGTAGACCTTGTTATCTCACTACATTTCKACCTAGTCTGATAATTCTTTTGTCACACAATATAAAAAGTATTTATAATTAGAGAACTCACTTTTAGTTGTAACTAGAGGCAAAGATGTAGTTTTGTCAGCATATGAACTAAAACTAAAAAAATCCCAAAAACCCACCAACAAAAATAAAGACACCAAAAAAACCTGACAAAACCCCACAAATCTAATCCATGTCTTTATAGTTCTGTTTCCATCTTTGAAGACAGTATGGAGAGAATTGCTGCTTTCATATCTTAGAAACTGCTTGGTAATTTTCAACCTSTTCTCAGCATTATTATTTTCTTTTGAAAGGCAAAGCAAAGGACAATAATGAGGGGAAGGACAATATATTCTTACTAAGGCGAAGCACCATATATAAGACACATTCCTGGCCAAGATGTTTTTAAACTGCTCTAGGTCTTATTTCTGAGCTGGTGCTTCCAATGGCCTGTAAAATAATTGCCATGTTTTGTTTGTCCTTAACATATTATGGTAGAGAGACAATTTTCAACACTTCCTTTTTCTAATATAAGAAAATGCCCAAACAGTATCTTGGTATATAAAATTATGGGAATCTTGAGGAGAAAAATAGTATTTTGGCCTCTGGTGATCTTAAGTAAGTTAACAGATGCATATAAAGATTACAGATGCTGAAAATGTCCGTTGCTGATTTCTTTTTCATTTTGCAGGTATTACTATGATGGAGACATGATCTGCAAAGTGCAAGGCAAGAGGTTTGTGTACAAATTCGTGTGYGACCTGAAGACTCTGATTGGGTACAGCGCAGCGGAGCTGAACCGCTTGGTCACGGAGTGTGAGCAGAAGAAACTGGCCAAGATGCAGCTCCATGGCATTGCACAGCCAGTTACAGCAGTGGCACTGGCTACAGCATCCCTGCAAGCAGAGAAAGATATTTAAGCACTGGGACCTGTAAGTGGGAACCTGAGGCCTTTCCTCTATAACCAGAGCAATTGGTGCTCTTACCTTTATTGGAATTGGAAACTTTCTTTGTTTCTCGACCATATAATATAGAGCATGATTTTCTATAAAGAACTGAGACTCACATAGATTTGGATCTTTTAACAGCATATATATTTTAATGTAACTTAAGGAGTCACCACAACTTCCACAGCTAGTGAGAAGTGGAACCGCTCAACGCTGTGACCATGGCTGTGCGAAGTCATTTCTGCAATGCTTTTAACAAAAATGAAGTCCCTGTAGTCCCCAGGCTGATTAGTTGTCTGAATGCAGCCTTTTCCAGTCTTTTGTTCTCTGCTGAACTACCAAATGGCATTTGATGCTTTCAAAGTTCAAAGTATGTTAATTATTCTCAGATAATCAAGCAGAGCTGAAAGACATGTTAAATGTTACAGAGCATCAAGTTCTTAAAAGAGGTTCTGTGYTTATAAGCAAAGGAAACTAAGACTAGACTTAACTGGAGATCAGTGCTGAAGAAGCAGATTCAAGTTTAGATATGGCTTAGGTAAAAAGCCAATTATGAGTATTTCATTGTAATATGTAGATAATATGCATATATGAGGGCAAATACCTGTTTTGAAATATGTGCTTGACATTAGCCATTTCGCAGAAAGCAAAGATGAACTTCTTYCCCCACTGCCATCCCCCATCAGGTGATTCAAAAACTTGAAAAAACAGCCCTCGCCCAAGAAGTAGATTGTTTTGTTGGGGATTATTAAGGCTGTGTTCTGCAAGGTGTTTATACCTGCATGGTAGCCAACCTTAGTACCTGAAGACTTAAGTTAATCACAGTCAGTAGTCCCTGGTTAGGAACAAATTGAAAATARTTTTACAGAGAACTGAAGTTTAATTTCCCAATCATTGTACAGTCTAATGTATATTAAATACAAAGAGGTATTTTTTATTTAATTTCTCTTTGAACTTCAAGTGATATTTTTGAAGCTTCTTAAGCCAAGTGCATGYTCCAGAGCTGGATGCAATTTGAGGACTGGATGATGAGTTATAAGTAGTTGGGATATATCCTGAATTCTGAGCTACTCACAGTGCTTCTTTCAAATTTAGATGTGCAGTAAAACATAGGCTGCAGCTTTTGAGCTTCTGCACTGGTGCTTGTTAGACTGCTTCTTTTAATGTCTAAGAATGGTGCAATTTGGGGTTGCTTTTGCCCCTTCATGTTAATAAACAGAATAATTATTATGTCACCATTGATATTCACCTACTTTTTATAAATTAAACCCCCTCTGGTAACACTTAAAAATTACAGTGGAAGACCTTTAGTTCTGTAAGGAATTGAGCTACTCTTAAACCTTAAATCCAAAGCCCTTGAACAGTGATGTTCTGAGCATAAAGTGTGTTGGTGTAGAGCAGTGAGGGCACTGGGCTACTGCTCTTGAGTCACCCTTGCAGGCAGAAGGCAGACAATACAAATACTTGTGTGTATCCTAAAGGTGTCTTGAGGACAAAGCTTTTTGTAGGTGGCTGCTCATCCACAGATAGTTTTTGGTTGACTAGAAATCTTGCATATAGTTCTGACTTATGTTTTTTCATTATTGACRTGATTATAAAATCAAAGGTATTTTGCTGGACTCTTTTGGTAACTCTTACTGTTGTTTTCCTTGAGCTCTTACAGCACTCCATCTGCTGAGCATKCTGGTGTCATTTTGCTTTTAAAAAATTTGTAAGCTCTGAGCAGAAAATGGAAATGTATCTGTCACGAAAGGTCAACRTCACCCCTTTTCTTGCTGTTAGAGTTGATATCACTGGTTGGCAACTTTTTAAGATGGCTTGTGCAGGAGATGCAGGTGTGCTTACCAAGAATTATGTGAAGCTGGTATTTGAGGGCAGCAGCTCTRCATGAACAGCACTCCATGAGTAAACACAAGTCAGTACAAGTCACTGGTTCCAGTAGCAGAGTTCTTGAGAGGCCTTTTTAGTTAATACAYATTACAAAAGAAAAGAAGCTTAAAATACCAGCTTCCTCCATCAAACCAGACTGTGGGAGGACAAACACACAGCAATATTGAGAACTAGTATCAATACCCCTGCCTATTCTTGTTACACGAAAAGCCCCATGGGGGAACTTCTGCTCCCACCCTTTGTAAATAAATCCTGTTGTTACTTTGCAGCCTTTCAGTAGGAGTAATGGTCCTTGGGGTTCTTTGTTGTGGCTCCATCTGCTTTTCTACCGTGTTCTAATTAGTAATGAAAGAATCTTTCAAGTGGTATAAAATTATTATCACACTCTCTGTAGTTGAGGGAGAAACCTGTGACTAACTTGATGTCTTCAGTAAAACAAAAGATTTAGAATATATTGTCAAAGGATTTTCTGTTGCTGCCAGAAGGAAAACATAGAAAGAATATTTCAAGTTTTTGTAAAACAGAAGGGTTTTTGCATACTTTTTATTCAATAAAGACACTTATACTCTGCTAATAATKATGTATTTCTTTTGTGTTTTATTCTGTTTTTTGTAATTTTATATGAAACAATTATTTTCTATTTTTACTCTGATAAAGTATAAAGTGCATAAAATTTCAATATAGTAAAATAAAAATATTATACAGCTAATTTGCCTTCTTAATTTTCCAGACATTTGAAATGTCTTTCATGGGCAAGTWCAAAGATGAATACCTGCCCTTTATTCTCTTTCTTCTTAATGTCAAAAGCTCAATACAGAAAGAAGGCAAACTCACCTTTTATTCGAAGATGCATTTTCTTTGACTCAATATTTGGCTATGTGTTTCTACTTTTAARCTGTAACTTGGTGTCCTTTATTTCTGTAGCAGCTTTCTTTAACATATTAATTGCAAATCTCAAAATGATACTTTGATTGATGATGAAAACTCAATAGCAGRACAAAATTAAGTCYTKTGAAATTATTCAGTTTATGCTTTTAGCAGTGTTTAAATCAGAAAGGTTTGTGTTGACCTGTAAGCTTTGGACTTTTTCATTCCTTCAAATGGCCCTATTTAGTTCATGTGGCCCTACTAACAAAACTGTTAGTGTTGTCCRTGTTAAAAACAAGATAAAATTCTGATTATACTGCCCTTACTTTSTTTCTACTGAGACACAATTTAAAAAATRTTCTTATTAMAYCTCTGAACACCTCCCTCTGSACTACCAAATTAARGACTGAAATATTTTGTCRTCTTTAAACCTACCACATCACTTGATTTCAAAATGTTTATATTTAGCTTAGCAGCAACAGCATGTAATGGACTCAAAATCCTGATTTTCAGACTTTTCAGTAGCTTGTTGGACTAGATGATCTTAGAAGTTCTTTCCAACCTAAATGAATCTCTGATTTTAAAGTTCACTTACAAGTGTTTCAGTATTGTATTAATGGAGGACCTTTTATTTAGGTTTATAGCTATTAGTATATTTATCCAGTGTGAGTTTCTTTTGGGATTCCTATCATAGAKAAGCTRTTATTGAAACAATAGGGAATTACTRTTAACAGCTTGCAATTTCATTCTTAATCAAGATAAGCTGACATGGGAYTCTACTGCCTGATCAATAAACTGTTAGAAGGTCCATTAACACCAGTTTGTAGGGAATATTTTTACTGACTGGACTGGGGTGTYGTGTTCTTCAAGGTCATACATATTAAACGTTGTGAGTTTACTATAGCTATGTCAGGGCTGCTAAAATATATCTGGGTTGATACTGTAGAATTCCTTTTCTTTTGGAAAAGTAATTCTTAATATAAATGATGCTAAACAAGAAARTACTTAATTAAAGGAATTAATGGTTGACTTGTTTTGAGGATTGTAATGTGGAACCCCATATATTAGATATGACTCCATTACATTTTGCATCATTATTTCAGAATTGGAGCCCACAGATTCCAATCAGGCACCAAACTGAAATTTTACCATCTTGTAATTTTAGAGTATTGACGTTTTACCCATTAATAAGTTGAAACTAAAKTTAAAAAATGCTGASGAGAGTGGAAYAAATATTGAGGGTCTGCTTTTAATTAAAATTGTACCTTTTACTTGTGAAACTGGGCTTCTGAAAACCAAAATGGAATTATGCTAGTGGCAGTTGTATCAGAAGATGGGTCTGGAAGTCACAGAACAGGTCTAATTYACTTTGAAAAGACAGAGGAATCAGTAGTATTTGTGGTTTGTGGCACACCATATCCATGTAACTTCTTTTTGTAGGTGATGTCACTGTATCCAACTATGATGGGAAAGAAAGAATCCAAAGAAGTAATTGATCACAGGTTTAAGAAGCTTCCTTGTGCACCTACTTAATAAAAGTAAAGTCAGTTTAAAAGAGAAGGTAACTAYCAGAAAGAGCTGGAACTCCCACGTAAATAGTTGTTACCAGAAAAAGCTAACACTCCCTGCAGAGCATTAGTTTTTCATAGTGCAGCAGTTCTTGAATTATTACTCTCTGATGTCCAGTAGTTGTTTTATAAAAATTCAGTTTATAGCACTTTTCATGTTGCAAGAGTAGAAATAGTTGTTCAGAAAGAGCGCTTGCTTAGTTTAGCACAATTTTGTGGAAATGTTTAATGTAAAACCTTGTGGAAATGTTTAATTTTGTCTATTGAATTGCTGCAAGTATTTGTTACTAATAATCTAAATGAGCTGGTAGTAGAAAGCCCACACTGTCCATCTATAATAGATCTGAAATCTGAAGACACTTCTTTTTCCTTAGCTCTTCGAACTGCCTTTTAACCTAAACGTATGAAATTAGCATTTAGTATTTCTAGTCCTATGGGACCTACCTCACAGAATTCACTAATCAAGGCAGAATACCCCCATCTTGGTAGAAAAAAAGCAAATTATATAAATGATATATGAGTATAATCAGTTATTGATTATAATGGAAGCAAAGACRAATGGCAGTAAAAAATCTGTTTCTTAGAATATTTTTTKTTTATTTGAAATTCCTTCCAGTTAGGGAAAGTTAATTTATGATGAAATAATGTGAGTTAGCTGCTTTCCCTTCATCCTGGTAAGCTTTGGTTTTTCAATATTCTCATTTTCAAAGACTCTGCAGGAGCTGCTTCATAGGAACTGGCTTGCATAAACCTTCAGCTGCAGAAGGCAGTGAGAAACCAGCATGTTTTATGCAAATCTCACCAGGGTGAAAGCTGGAAACTGTATGGAAAAAATTAGTCTGGAAGAGTGAGAATGCAAGAGCTGAGATTTAATGAGATTAAGTAGAYATTAATTAGACACTTGCAGGATGCAGTTCCTTAAACTTCAGGGTTGGGATAGAAAAGATACTATTTTTTTTTTTCCTACATGAAAACAACGTTTTATTCCAGAAACTCGAAGCTCTGTTATTCTCACATCCTACTGCGCCAGTCTGTTTGGCTTCACAGAAAGCACCCTATGTGGGAATCTGTAATACCCACTTTAATATCCCTGTGAGAGCAGTGAGGGGAGGGGAGGGACAATCAGGATGCAAAACTCACTGTGAGACTCAAGTTGTTCTGGCCCTTGTCCTGTGAAAAGAGCTGAGGGTGATAGAACCAATGGAAAGCAGTATGGCTAACAGCCATAAATAATAAGATGACATGAACTGTACCCAAAAAGAAACTAGAAGCTGTAACAGGAGCTTGAACTTGTCTTCAGGCATAATTAGCCAGGCCTAAAGTGAGCTTTGTACAAATGAAAAGAAAAAAAACTACCTGGGGGATAGTTACAGAGTAGAGGAGTTTCTATGGGAAAATTTGTGTCTGTCTTCCTTGCTCAACCAATGGATCAGTTACATCTTAAGAGTTATGAGCCCTAAACACAAGTTCTGTGAAACTAAAGAGCTGGGACAGTGCAACCATGCCCACATTAGTGTGCCTAGCAAGGAAAATAAAGTGTAATTCAGCCTTCTGCAATGGACAACATGATGATGTAAACTGGCCACTTGCTGAACTTTGTACAGCTGGAGAAGCAGGAAAAAAAACAAGGTGCTGTTATTCCTGGGCCTGCRTGTGTCAGGATGGAAAAATCTCAATTATTTTGGAAAACAGGTTTCAATGATTCGTTTAATCGTTACTCCTGTAATATTTTATGAAAGGGAGGGTAGTTCTTCAAGGAGAGGCAGTAAGCAGCCAGAGCACAATACTGTACCCACAGTTGGTTTAGGATACTAAACTGGCATTAAACTGGAAATAGCAGTATGAATTCATTTTGTAAAAACCAGACAGGTGGCAATAGAGTTTTACCTCAGACCAGTAGGCAAACTAGACGATATTGGTATGTACAGAGAGAAGAGATGACCTTTGCATGATGTTCCCCYAAGGAAATCAAGGGGTGTTGTCCAAGACTGGTTTGTGTTGAGGGTTTGAATGAGTCCTGACAGAAAAATGCTGTTGCAAGTTTCYAAAAATACATAAATATRTATACATAARTATATATATACAGGAAATACATAAATTTCTATATACATAAATACATATATACTAAGTTTGCTTGGTCAGATCGTGTTGTGTGCTTTGGACTTCAACGTGCAGTAKAGAAAGCTGAAATGGGTGAGTGCTTTAATTTTTTTTGTTTGTTCTTAAGACAGACCTGTCTAAAGAGAGCAAGTGGAGGGAAGAAGTAAAAACTTCTTCCTTAGAGGTGGAAAGCTGCTCAGAAATGTCACCTGTCAGGCTGGAGGAGTTATTTAATAGACTGCATATAAGCAAGTGGAGCACTCACGTTAGCTGAAGGTGCAGGCAAGCCAGAGGGGATGGAACAATCATCACTGAGAAAGAGAAATGCAGGGAAACAATCTCCTGACTCAGCCAAAACAGCTCAGAAAAGCTCAGTGAGAGCCAGAGTGGGAGCAGCCTGGTGTGCCAAGGGACTGTCTCCTCTTGGCTCCCTCTCTCCCAGAGCCTCTATAACTACACCAGGTGGTGTCAGAGTTGTTCTTTGTTTTATCCTCATCAGCTGCTGACCAAAGCAACTGGCATTGATTATCCCCTTGGGCCAGGAAGTAAACAGATAAATGCAGTTTTTCCTCTCACCATTTTCAACAGTGCTCATGTCATCTCTCATTATCTGGGTTTCAGTGATGAGTTCTGAAAAACCTACCCTGATTAAACTTCGGGCATCCTATGCAGAATTTTTTTCAGTATCAGCTAACAGATGTATGTTTTGTGAGCAGAGATCCTGGGAGCAGCTTCCAACAGGCTATTTTGTTGCAGTGTTATTCAGTGAAGCATTTTAAATGACCATTTAAAGATTTTGATCTTGAAGCCTCTGCCTGCTGGGGAATCTTGTATTTCATTGTTTTAAACGATATTTGGCCTTCTGATTACAGAGGAGATCTCACTAGAAATGTGTACSATAATGCTCTGCACTTTTCCATTGCTTGAGCTACTAATGACAATTTTATTTCAACCAGGAGCAAAATTAAAGTTTTTTCACTGCAGAGAAACTCACAAGTTTCATACCAGCTCAATATGACTTTCACTAACACCTTTGAAAATCTTCAGTGAAGTGGAAGTACTGCAAGGAAAGGTACTCCCTGTTCCTGACAATGGTCCAAACAAGAGTGSTAGCTCAGCACCTGCCTTTTTGCCAAAGGCCATTGGTGCCAAAATAAGTCCAGGAGTCACTTTCTCCTTGGAAGCTTGGCTTTTTCCCATCTTCCAAAAGACATGTTATAGGCAGGCTGGTTTTCAGGGGATATTTTCATCTTCTTTTAAATAAGTTGTGTCTAGAAAATGCTTTTTTTTTCCCTATGACCTTCAGGGCAATCTTCTGTATGTATGGGAAAGAGCCAACTTCCCTTCACAAGGCTTAACCTAGACAATGAAAAAATTCCTGCCACTTGCTGGAACTGCAAMTCTTCAGTCATTAAACACAATCTTAA